AGGTTCGAGCCAGGAACGCAGGCGGTGGCTGGACCCTGGCAGAGGGAAGGAGGGAGTCTCTTCTAGAGGCGTCAGAAGAAAGCAGCCCCCCAACCTCCATCACCTAGACTATAGGACTTCTAAACTCCCAAACTGTAAGATAATACATTTGTGTTGTTTTACGTGACCACATTTGTGGGCGTTTGTTACAGTAAACATAGGGAACTCGCACGCTTGCCCACGGAGGAAGGAAGAGTCAGAGCTACACAGAGAGGTTGTCTTAACCACCAGGCTAAACTGCAGTCCTGTGGACAGTATTTAAAATGGCCCAGAAGAGGCTAGACTGAAGGACATGACTGTGCCAGAATAATTTTCAACTTGTTACTGGAAAATTAGAGTTCCTGCGCTCCCCATGGTGAGCCTGGGCGTGACAGGGCTGTTATTAATACCATAATGATCCAGCCATTAAAATAGAACCGCAGTTAATAAGCATACTAATGAACACATTTACAGTTAGAAAAATAATTCTTTCTTGCAATCAGGTAACACGTCTTTGACATCTTTGGACGATAGGTCTTTTACTGTTATAAACTTTGTTAACTTCTGATTTCCGATTTTTTCTATAGTCAATTTTCGAATACCTCTATTTTTTCTATTTATACAATTCAACTGTGTGCAAAAGATTTTTTTCCCAAAAGTGTGTGACAAAAGACAGGAATAAATGCGTTATTGACTATGAATTTAAATATTAATATTATTTTGGATACTTAACTTAGTGTTTTTATCTAAACACATAATTATTGAGTTGGATTAATTTTATTAATGGTGTATACTCAGATCTCTTATAGGTTAGATTTAATGTAAAGAAATATTGTTGTAAATCATCTGCACTTTTCTTTTGTGAGAATGTGTTTGCATTGGCAATGCTCTATTAAGAGTTCAAAATCTGAAAATCTTTGTGGAATAGTGAGAATAAACTCACCCTGAACATTACCAGTGATGGCTGAGACTTGAAATGTTTCTTTTCTAGTCAGTGATGTAAAGTCCAAGTATGCTTTTTATTTATTTTTTTATAATCCTCACCCAAGGATATTTTTCCATTTATCTTCAGAAAGAGAGAGAGAGAGAGAGAGAGAGAGAGAGAGAGAGAGAGACACCGATGTGAGAGAGACACATTGATTGGTCTCCTCCCGCATAACCTCTACCAGGGCCGGGGACTGAACCACAACCGAGGTCGGGCCTTGACCAAATTGAACCTGTAACTCTTCAGTTTGCAAGCCAAAGCTCTACCCACTGAGCCAAACCAGCCGGGGCCCAAGTATGCTTTTTAAGTTAGTAGTGTTGAAAGTAAAATTTTCAAAAATGTAAAAACATGACTCATTCAAATACAGAATAAACACTTATCAAAGATGTATTTGAGTCATTAGCGAAGGACTCAGAGGGGTAAAGCTGTCCAGGGGACTGAGTGCATGCAGGAATCCAAGAAAGAGTATTGGGTGACCCTTACTGGGTTAAGTACGCAATGGCTAATGTCCGTCAGGGCAATAAAAAAAAAAAAAAAAAAGCTTTGGGGATGTATTTTCTACCAGACAGAAGTCATTTGAATCTCTAATGGGAAAAATATCTACAAATTAACATGTTACTTAACAGATTCAGTAATCAGTAATAAATTGTAAAAGCAGACATTTATTAATTTTAGAATGAAATAATCTTTAGATGGGTCCTGTTAGAAAATGCTCAGTATGGCTTTGAAAAAAACGTGAAGTTCTGCCTTTGATGTATTTTTCAGTTTCTCCAGTTTTTCTTAACAGTGGTGAGAGCACTTTCAAGAGAGTCTCTACGCCTGTATTCCCCACACCACGTTTGGAGTGAGTGCGAGATGCTAATGATGACACATGAATTCAAATGCTCTCTCTCTCTCTCTCAAAAGACTTTTTCAGAGAGTTTCAGATTTTTATTTAAAAACATTTTTTTTTATTCTTTATTGATTTTACAGAGAGAGGAAGAGAGAGGAAGAGAGAGATAGAAACATCGATGAGAGAGAACATCAATTGGCTACCTCCTGCATGCCCCCCACTGGGGATTTGGCCCACAGCCTGGGCATGTGCCCTGACCCGGAATCGAACCGGTGACCTCTTGGTGCATGGGTAGATGCTCAACTGCTGAGCCACACCGGCCAGGCTGTTTCAGATTTTTATATCTTTAACTTAGTGTTTTATGATTACGGTTTAAAATTGTATGCTTTTCATATATCAGATATGTTGCATAGCTTTTCATAACAGTGACTTATATTAGAGACATTGTAAGTGAGTTTTCTATCTAAAGTAATATCGTTAGGAATCATCTGAATATTTGTCTCCTGTGAGAATCTTCGTATACATAAGTTGTGTGTGTATATATAATCCTGTACTGACACTGTACTTGCATTCTGAGTTATGTTTAGCTTTTTTCCCTGCAGGGTGTTGTTCCCGTGCACGTGCCTCTGTGATGAGATGGTAGCTAGTCTGTCGATTCCCACACGTCACTATTTCTGGTTTTCAGGCCCCATTTTTCAAACAGCCCTGCTCCTGCCTCCTCCTCCCGAGAGCTAAATTACTGGCTGTCCCTGTAATGCCCAGCAGTCCTCAGAGCTTCCTTTCAGGCAGTGAAGAAGAGATGTGTTGGGAGAATGTGTCTTGGAATGAAATGTTCTAAGAGTAACTCTCATTTATGAGCACAAGAACTGGACTTAAAGACCACGGGGAGTAGGAAATTATTGACTTAGAGTCAGGATTCTAGACCTGAGGACCAAGTTTCCTCAGCTACCTTAACTAAAGTGACCCCAGTCTTTTAACCTTGATCAGAATACCCGTTACAGTCTATAATCATTTATTAACGTATTTGTTCTCTTGATAATTATTGCCTGTCTTCACTGAATGTAAGCCCCATAGGGCTGGGGCCATGTCTGTGTTGATCACTCTTTTTGTCTAACAAAACGTGCCTCAAATATGATGAACTAATAAATATAGTTGAGTGACTGCACCAACTTTGTGTTATACTGTAAAGTAAAAAGAAAATAGGTAGGAGTGAGAGAAAATGGCAAGTACCTTCAGTTTAAGACTCGAAACAATATACCATTGCTTTGGGCATCAGTTGTCTGATATGGTTTTCACTATTTCATTTTGCTGATGGAAATATTCCAGGCACAAAAGCTGTAGGTGCCATGAAAGGTTAATATGACCATTATAGTATAATAACAACAATAGTAAAGAAGATTTAAAAAAAAAAAGAAAGAAATAGTAGGCTAAAGTAACACAGACTAAACCTTTCCTGGGGGAATAAAATTCTCTTGGTAGCTAATTCCAAAAATAGACTTTATCTAAAATAAAATCATTATTACGATGGTTGCCTTTAAGCGATACATTAACTCAGAGATAACGGCATTGCTCCAAATGTATCCACATTTAAAGTCTGTCTTATTGGAATTTTTCTTAATTTGTTGTAATCTAATAATCGCAGAACACATTATTTGTATTTGACACAGAGTTATGTTTTTACTGTGCCCATTTTTTTTAGCTTTATAACAAGGAATAATTGTTCAGTTACCATTCTTCCTACAGAATGCAATGTTTATTCATGTGCACTTGGTGAATTCTTTATAAACACATTAGCAAGATGTGGAAAAATCAAACCTCTGAAATTTCAAAAGATAGCTGTATAAAATAGTTGAAAAAATTTGGGTGGTGGTGAATATAAATGATTCTCATTAAATATTGTAGAGAATCTGAACGAAATGCATATTTGGGTGTACTAGAGTAATGGTAATAATTTTGTCGAAGGAAACAAGATGAGTCAACATTCATGTCATTTCGTTTACTGGGAGAAATCAGCTAGCCAGTTGAAAAATAGCTTCGTATTTTATTGGATTTTCTTCACCTCTTCATTTATTACATGAATGCATTCTCAAGGGTAATTGTCTTTAAAAAAAAAATCTTTGACTTGTGAAATGTAGAAAACACTGCTAAGCTTTTGGAGTATTATCAATTCTTTGTGTTTCTTGTTCAGGGTGCAACTGATTTTGACAGATGAACTGTTATGCTACCGGTATAACATGACATCTTTTTTCAGATGAGCTGAATAAAAGTGGTCTTGACAATGAGCAGATAAGACACTGACAGAAAGCTGAAAAAACATGTCAATGTCACAGTTATGACACAAATGCAGCAGAACAGCCCCTATAATATCATTAAGTGAATGTCTTTTTAACGATGCCCTTGAGAAGACAGACAGTAGCATTGTTCTCAAATACTATTACTTAGTCACAAAAATAATAAAATAAAACAAAACACAAAGGTCAGTTTGATATTTATTTGAAGTGGCATTTGATGAGTCTGATGTATGTGTGTGTATTTGGACGCAGAACTCCTTTATATATGGCAGATATGAAAGAATTTTGAGATGTCGAAACCACTTTTATAGGAGCCAAAAAAAGCATTTAACTTCAACATTTCAAGAACACCATTAAAAATACTGTTTGTAGCCCTGGCTGGTTTGGCTCAGCGGTTGGAGAGTCGGTCTGCGGACCAGAGAGTCCTGGGTTCGGTTCCTGCTAGGGGCATGTGCCAAAATAAATAAAATAAAAATGTGGGTTTGTTTAAAACAAAAAACAAAAAATTGATTGTGGAGTATGCAAAGTGGTTTTATGGATATTGATATCACAATTTTTCTGCTATTCTTTTTTTATGGGATGAGAAGGCCCTTAATAATATGAGAAAATTAGAAATACATTTTAAAATGAATTTTGTAAATAGGTTAGTAAAGACTAAAATGGAATCAATCCCAGGTATCAAGAGAGAGTTAGACATGTGGTGGTTTTATTTTACCTGATTATGATGGGCTCAGAGCTGAACTTTACATGTATGTATGTATGTATGTATGTATGTATGTATGTATAAATGATGCTTTTTCTATACATAGACATTTAAAATGTTTAATGGAAAGCATATTCTCCCTAGAATGACTTTTAATGTCTTTGTCTCTAGGATCAGAGGTGGTTGATCTTGATGGACGAAGTTCTCTCCTCTACAGAGTTCATCAAAAACCCCTAAGCACAATAAAGGAGATTATTTCTTTGAAATTTAAAACCATGCAGAGTGATGGGATTCTGCTCCACAGGGAAGGGCAAAATGGAGATCACATCACACTGGAATTGAGAAGAGGAAAACTCTTTTTACTTATTAATTCAGGTAGCACTATGTGGTGAAATGCTTGAAAATCTGGTCATGCACATATCACTTCAGTAACTTCATGCGTTTATGCCTTATAACAATTAAGGTCCCTTATTTCTAGGTTAAGGGCGTGTGTGTGTGTGTGTGTGTGTGTGTGTGTGTATGCCAACACTGTACTCTCATTTAAAATTGTACTTTCATTTAAAATGGTTCAGTTTCTTTTTCAAATTGTATAAGACCAATAGACTTGCATATCATGAAGAAAGAGATGGGTCCTTAAAAAATATTAAGGTAGTAAAAATAATGAGGTTGTAGCAAAGATAAAATTTAGATTGAAAATAAGCACGTGGTGGGCAATGCCAAGAAAAAGAATGAACAGTGGAAGAGATTGCAGCCAGGTTGAGAGGATATGCTAGTCCCACGTCAGGTACGTCACACTGGAGTTTGGGGTGACGTGCCTGGAAGGAGACTGCATCGTTATGAAAGATGGTGACTCGCAAAAGGGGAGCTTTGTGTTTAGACTGGGGATACTGGTGCTTCTGTTTATTTTTTTCTCTTCTAAGGTGACGCTAAGCTGCCCTCGCCGCCCACGCCGGTCAACCTCACGCTGGGCAGCCTGCTGGACGATCAGCACTGGCACACGGTGCTGGTCCAGCGCTCGGGCAGCCTCGTGAACCTGACAGTGGACGAGCACCGGCATCACTTCCACGCCCAGGGGCCGTTCAGTTACCTGGGTCTTGATTACGAGGTGTGATGGTTCTGTTTCAGTTGACACAGGTTTCAGGATGTGCTTGAGGTTAAGCCCAGCCGAAGGCAATCTGCCGTTGGGAACCCCACTTTCAGAGTGAATCCAAGTCCTGGTGAAGGGTTTCCTATGTGCCGTAGCAGATTTGGGTGTATCCTAGAGCCTTCGTCTTTCTCACGATATGTTACTGTATTATTAGAGAGAGAGATCATCTTTTTTATCTGACATGTGTAATCACAGAATGTCACATGTACGAAATCTCCAAGAAGAGATCTCATTACCACAAGTAAATATAAATTGTGTTGCCTGCTTTTTGTTATAGGGCACCCCTGAACAGATTTATTGGGAGGATATAACAATGAATAGACTAATTAATTAACAATCAATTCAGATATATAAATATCAGTGTGTGCCAGAAATGTATATAAAGTAAAATGTGACTGTAATCAGTTACATTTATTGAATAAATCAAGTTTACCATGGATAAAAAAAAAAAAGGTGTTTTCATTCATCAACCAACAAATATCTGGGTGTGATTAGCAACTTTTCAGAATTATTAAACTCGAATATAAATGAAAACTGAAAGCATATACATTTGTATAAATTAGCTTTAAAATCTGTATCTTTATTTTTAAAAGTATCTCCGTATGACATTAACAATATGGCTGTGTAGGGCGATGACAAATTGATCTGTGTGACGATGACAGTGTAGTCTCTAATCATAACTATTTAAACAGATCAACAGAAAATCACTAAACAATATTATTGATGCCATTTTTCTTTCTAAGATCAGCTTTGGAGGGATTTCAGCACCTGGAAAATCAGTGTCATTCCCCCATAAAAATTTCCATGGGTGTTTAGAAAACCTCTACTACAATGGAGTGGATATCATTGATTTGGCCAAGCGACAGAAGCCACAGATCATCACTACGGTAAGAGAGCCTTTGTGTGAAGGAAGGAGCGGAAGCCGAGTGGCTTTTCCACGGGACAAATGGCTCCATTTTGGATTCCCATGTGATACGATGATTTAGAATTTACTTGTATTCTTTCAAAGCTTTTCTATGCTTGGCAATATGCCTATAAGGGGTTAATCCTATCTAAAGAATCATAATTCACAAGACACGATTATTTTATTTTATATGGAGTAAAACAGGTTTGTTTTGTTTTTTCTTGGCAGTTGATAATTTTGTTATGATATTATTATTCCCAGGAGACTAATTTCTTTTGCTCTGTAATTTCCTTAATAAGATATTCCCTGACAAACTCTCTAAACAAGCATACCGAGTTCCTGGAATCAGATAACATCCATGTATATTAGAGAGGCATTTGAAAAACGTGTATTTTGCCATGCTCATTCATAACAAATACAGGAAACTAATAGGCTATTACAGCATCGCATCTGCCAATCTGTCCCAGCAGCGCTGTTGGTCAGGCTGCCCTGTATTCTGATTCCATGGAAATACGGCAGAATTTGGAGATAACTATCGGTCAGGGTTCAGCGGGGAAATCAGCGCTGCGATGAGTTTTATGAACAAGGGATCTGCTTGGGAGCTTGGAGCTTAGCTATTGTCAGAGGGGCTGGGAAGCGGAGGCCAGCTGTCGGCGGAGGGCTGTGACGGGCCAGGGCTCGCTGGCCCCAGCCCCGCGGTCCTTCACTGCGCATGAGCACACGCTCAGGAGGAAACCGGCCAACCCTCCCCTTCTAACTCCAGTACCCTGCGAGCTCCCCCCTTGGCTAACTGTTAACCAGAACCAGACAAGAAGAGGCTGTGAAACACGGTTTCCAGTGTAACCAGCTTACACACATACCCATTTGCATAGGTCGCTTTAATTGTTTAAAATTCAATATGTAAAGTTAAGCTTACGTATCTGCACATTTCAAAGCACATCATAGAAATATTTATTGTTTACAAAATATTTATTCCTAATTCTCTGTGTGAATTAGTAGCATTTATATGAGTAGAACATTTAGCAATTTTTTTAATGTATTGATATTAGAGAGAGAACGGGGGTGGGGGGAGACATCGACTTATTGTTCCACTTACTCGTGCACTCACTGGTTGGCTCTTGTATGGACCCTGACTGGGGACTGAACCTGCAACCTTGGCGTATGGGGACAGGGCTCTAACCACTTGGCTACACCGCCAGGGCTCCAATGAAATTTTAAAACAGTTCTCTTTTTTTATAATTAGAAAAATGATTTAAAAGGAAAATCAAATATTATAGGTAGATAGGTGTGTGATTAATTGACAAAATGAGTTTCCAGAAACTCATGCAACTAACACCCACTTTTCATTGGCAAGACGATTTGCAGGGTAGCAGGCAGCTGTCCAAACTAAGCATGAGACCAAACCGCAGCTGGTAAACATTTCCATTTTTACTACGTTTGCTCATCTATAATTGCCTTTACATTATAGGCTAGTGTAGTTTACTCTTTAGCTTTTGTTATTTCATTCATTGGGACAAGATATTTGCCCATAATGAAAGCTAATACACTTTAAACAGAATCACAATATCACCAAAAACTTTTGTTTAACCAAGGCCAAATGGGTTAACTCCAGTGTCTCTTCTTCTAAATAAAGTTGATTTTATTGATTTTTCAAATCTATATTTGGAAAATTTATTAAGGATTATTTTCAGGAAAAACACAAACATTTATCTTCATTTCTGAAACATGTTAAGGAACATGTTTAATTCTTTCTAAACAATTCAGAGGTGATTTTTTGTAGACAGTATTTTAAAACAAATCTATGCGATACAATGTATCCTGGAGATCTATTCCAAAGCCATTAGATGAGAAATAGTACATGTAAATCTGATGATAAGGGCATACTGAGAAGAAAAAGACAAAAATAGTTTAAAAAGGGAATGTGAATAGTACATTGTACATTGTAGTGACCAATGTAAAACCTACAGAGGAAAAAAAAAAAAAGAAAAATGAAGAATAAGCAGAAGACACGCAGACTTTTCTGAGGAAAGCAAGTCCAAAAGAGCAACGAATTCATGAAAAATGCTCAGAATCACTATTAGTAAGGTCAATGAAAAATAAATAAGAATGAAATATTGCTTTGACATTTTTGTCATTGAATTTGTACAGATTTAAAAGGTCTGTAATACCTATTCCTGCCAAGGATGTGAGGAAAAGGATATCCTCATTTATTACTGGTGGAAGAGTGGACTAGTTCAGCTTTTTCTTTTAGAAAGAGAAGCTGGAAATATTTATTAAAACATATAGGCACCTATTGTTCTGTATTTAGAACCTTCTTCACACAGTTATTTATGACAGTATTATTGGGAGAGGCGAGACCTGGACACAGTGCATGTACATTAACAGGAAAACAATCGAGTACAACTTGGACCATTCACATGATAAATAAAGAGAAGAAAGTAGGCTTATGTCAGATAACTCAGAGGAAGTTCCACAAGGTATATTTCAGTGATAAAGTCATGATGCAGTAAATGGCTCCTATTTTTGTAAAACAAATAATGCCCAGTGTGTAGGTATATGTATTCATCAATATATATTAAAGTGTGTGTATGTATTTATAATTGAGCATATAGCTGAAAGTGTGTGTGTGTGTGTGTGTGTGTATAACAGAGAAGACCTGTGTGTATAGCAGGTCATTAATATTGGTTATGCTACGAGATTCATTAGAAGCCAAAGGCAGCAAAGGGATAAAAATGGAAAGCCAAGTAAAAGACAAAAACAAAGAGTTGGCTTAAATACAATTTTATTAAATTAAATTACACTGGGCTAGATGCCTTTGTGAAAGTTGAGAGATAGGGAGAAAAGGATTTCACCTAGAGAGCGCAGGCAAGAGTTGCCTGATTCTAATCACCGGATTTGAATGTATGGCAAGAGTGTGGATTTTCATGTTGATAGCAACGCGTTGTTTTAAAGCGAGGATCATTTGAGATTGATAAATAGCCTTTGCGAATATTTCAGTTTCTATTGCTAATGTGATACGACTCCTTCTTAAAGCTTCTTCTTTGACTTTATTCTCAGGGAAATGTGTCGTTTTCTTGTTCACAACCACAATCTGTGCCTGTGACTTTTCTCAGCCCCAGGAGTTACTTAGCGCTGCCGGGCTCTTCCGGGGAGGACGAGGTGGCTGCTGCTTTTCAATTTCGAACCTGGAATAATGCAGGGCTTCTGCTATTCAGTGAACTTCAGCTGGTTTCAGGGGGTCTCCTCCTCTTTCTTAATGATGGAAAACTTAAGCTGAATCTCTACCAGCCTGGAAAATTACCCAGTGACATCACAGCAGGTAATAAGCGTATCCCCGCAGGCAAGGCGTATGCGTCTGAAAGATTTCATTATCCCTCCGTCCCTTCCCCATGCCATTTTATGCATAACCAAAAAATTAATATATGTTTAATAAATGAACACTTGAGTTAATAAGATTATCAGTACTCTTCCTTAGAGGAACTGGATTCTAATTTTTTTTAAAAAAAATATGGCTCCACAGTAGCAATTCTTATTAACCCAAATGATACTTCTGGGGGAATGGAAATTTCCTTCTACGACCCTCTCATCCACTCCAGACAGAGCAACATACGCTGAGGAAATCTGTTTGGGGGAAAATGTGAAAGACTTTGGAATGGGCCCAAAAGTTTACTGAGTGTCTTCAGTGGAAAACTCGGTTTGTCTACTATGTTTATTAGTCTTCCCTGGTCTGTGAGAGAAAGGAGGAGATCTGTCTTGGATCTATATTGTATGTCTACATTAGTATGGTAAAGCCTAAATACTAATTCCAAGTGACTTTACTTGCGGATGTATTCCATGCAGAGTTGGATATATTTTGGGAGGATGAAAATATTCATGCAAAGTTCCTCATTTCAGCACCAAAAGGAATTCTCTCTACTTCTAGGCAATACGCTATCATTTTAATGATTTGAGGTAATATAATTAAGGAGACTATATGAGTGTCTGGAAAATTAATGTCTAATTTAGGTCAGTGCTTTGGGTGAAGGATATTTTTGTCTCTTCATTAAAATTATATAGTTTTTGACAAGGGATCTCCATCACATTTTCATATATATGGAATAACGTTTAAGCCCAGCAACTGGAGGTCACATTGGGGTAAATTGCTACATCAATTTAATAAATGATCTTTAAAAACAATTTAAAGATGCCATTGTACTACTCCTCTATATTAACTATGGCCAAAATTAATAGGTTACGACTGGGAGAGGAAAAAAGTTAAAATATAGTAGAAAACTAAATATAAGAAAACAGATAGACAAATGGATACACATGTGTGTAGTCTTTATCATTTTTGTTGGTCCTCTATCAGTGCAGTTTAAATGTGGGAGCTGGAAGTTCAATATTAATGATAATTTTTGAGAGATACTATGCTGTGACTTTTTAATGTAATGCTCAGAATGTGGTGTATTTGCAGGCTTGACAAAGGAAATACATCAGTGTCATATTAATAATTAGCAGGTTCCCTAAAATGAGGGCCTAAAAATGTACTCCTGCCTTTAATGTGTAGTTTATTGTGATTTATTTGACATCCCAGAAGTGGTTATATTCATAGGCTAATTTTCAACATTTGAAAGAAACTGCTTCAGAACAATGCAACCGAGTTGAGTGAGCCCCATGAAGCTAGTTCATTTCTAAGCACTTTACAGTCATGTGTATTTAATAAATTGTTAGGTACAAGCCAATAAAGAATACATTGCATGATTTAAAAATCTCTAAATTAATGTTTAAATCCATATGCAATATAATCTATTATTACATTATGTGACTTGATGAGATTGTTTTCATAGCTAATAATAAGGAGCCTAGACTGAATATATTGTCAATATAAAAAACTGGCACACTTCAGACAACACAAGTAGGCCTTTATTTACCATCTCTCCCACCCTCATTTTTTCAGTTTCTTTAAAAATATTAACTTTTGCTACTACCATTGTTGTGTTTGAAGGTAGACTATTTAAGTGGTAGTTGGGTAGGTGGTGAGTTCTCTCATAGGGAAAGACTTTCCACCTATGAATACCATGTACGATTTTCAATAATTATATTAGTTGTCAGAATGCATTATAATGAGTCTTTAAAGAGAATCATTTACTGGTAGATTAGTATCCTATTACACTAACTGTTTCCATTATAAAGGGATGGCTTGATTTTTCTCAGCTACTGGAGATATAAGTTACACATTTTTTATGTTTTAAAAACTCAAGAGTTTTATCTTTTACAGCAGCGGGATAAAAATTAAATTGTGTTGAGGAAGAAATGAATTAAGCACGTGTTTGAATGATCAGGCTACGTTTTTAATTCATGTACAGTTTCGCCAGTTGTCATTTGGAATACTTTGAAAATAGTACGTCGGCTTATATCATTTTTGAAACATTAAAGCTGATATATTAGCCCAAATCATAAATTGTATTAGCGGCTCTACAGAACACCTTATGACAGACACAAAGTATTTTCCATCTTCGTCACTTTTATAGATGTCACAGCAAAAATCATTCAGATGGCGTCCCAAACCCAATGAATGGTACTTACATTGTTACATTGTATAGTCTGCGGTGTTTTCCCATTGAAAACAAATTCTTGATTGTCAAGTTTGAGATTTCTGCTAGGAGTTTAGCATTTCTGCTGCTGCTTTTGCTTACAGGAGCAGAGGCCTGTGAACAGGCTGGTTGCTGTCCCGGGCAGGGCCTGGCAGGTGCGGCAGGACTGAGCTGCACCTGCGTTTTCCAGGTGTTCAGCATTCGTGATTGTCGTGGCTCTGGCAGAGGTACAGCCCTCTCGATGTGCCTCGCCCAGCAGAAGCCTTTTTCTATTCCCTCTTCTTCCTTTCTACTGTTGGAATATTGCCCCCCATCACTTCCTCAAACTTCCACTTTTCCCCAGGTGATTAGTACCAGCGCCCTCCATATTTTCCTTCCTCCTGGCAAGAGCTGGGGGTGGTTGGGTCCTTAGTCCTGCTCTGTGTAGGGGCGGTGGCTGGAGGAACCTCTGGCACTGTTCCAGAGCTCGGAAAGATGTTTGCGACAGGTAGAGCACGTCAGCTGTTCCTTGAGCGATGGCCTATGTATAATTGCCTTTTGCACCCTTGCAGAGAACCTGCGCACACAGCAGGCTGCTTTTTTTTCGACGTCTCGGGCCTGGGGGCCTGTTACAGTCTTATGAGGGAGCAATGGTGGGTAAGCCGTCCCAGCGTTCCTGTGGCGATTGAGGAGTGCTGGCAGAAGATCAGACACAGGGAGCAGATATAAGTCTTCCTTCTTGCTGTGTTTTGCGTGTTCACATACATGGTTTGGGCCTGAGTGGGTGAGGAAGAGAGAGAGGTGGGGGGGGATGATAGGAGGAGGGGGCAAGAAGAGAAGGAAGAGGAGGAGGAGGAGGGGAAGGAGAAGAGGAGAGAGGAACAGGGAGAGATTTCTGGTCAACAGTCCTATTCGCTGATTATTTTCCATTTATTGCCCCATTCTTCTGTTATTCCATTTGGAGTCGTCGATGCTTTCCACCCAAAGACCACAGTAATCACACCTGTAATCAAACAAGTTTGCTTTATTGCTTATTTCAACAAGAACTCACACCCTGGGAAACCACCGGTGTCTAAATAAAAAGGTGTTAAAGATGATTTATTATTGGATTTTGGGTCGTGTTAGCTGATTTGGGCGAGGGCCAAGAAAGTGGAGAATTGCTCTAGATCAAAAGCTGCCAGGAAGTGAGGGTGATTGAATGAGTAGGTATTGTTTTATTTAGAAGGATGGAGGCATGAAATATGGCTTTAAAAAAAAAACCAAAAAAACCCAAAACAGTTGCCATTGATATTATCCAGGAGAGGAAGTTTAGTATTTTTTGTGGTTTTCACAGTAGCCTGCTTTTGTCTGTGTTTAGGTGAGATTATGTAGTAGTTTTGATTTTCGGGGTCTCATTTACTGTAGTCACCCAGTGACATTGCCTGATGCGGACGTTCTGAGATTATGTTCACCAGGAGAAGCCGAGGCCTAGCTCTGGGCGGCGGTCCCTGCTCGCACCACGGCCTCACCGAGTGCCGGGCCAGCTCCCAGCTGCAGCCCGGGCTGTTCTCGTTCTCAAAGCTACTGGTTTAACTTGAACAAACAGGCAGAGGGGCAGAGGGACCGCAGGACCTGCAGGCAGAAGAGTGTGGTTTTGGAATCAGCTCACCAGCTGGATGCTACCTTGGGTGACTGGTTTATCTTCCTCCAGCCTCGCTTCCTCCGCATTTAAATGCGAATGGTGATAGCAGTGTTGAAGACTAAATGACACAGTGCCTGCAAAGCACGCAGTCCCTGCTATGAATCATAGTTCAATGGAACTGTTATTATTATTGTATTATTATACCAACAACATCCGCCCCCGGACTCAAGAGTTATGAGAGGTGGGAGCAGTGTGCTAGAATTAGCATTTAGTTACCTAACATCACGAACAAGAAAATATACAGATTATTCCTCCTTCTCCTTTCTCTCTTTGCAAGGTTTTGAAAGGTACTCGCTTCTCATCCCACCGAAAAGTGGGAAGGAGTAATATACTTAAAAAATAAAATAAAATCTGACTTAAAAAAACGATCCTTTTCATTACATAGCCTTAGGTGAAATGAATTAAACAGGTCCTTCGTTATTTAATTTGAGTGATAAATCCCATTGACGGGTAAGACGTCTCCTCATCATACGTGAGTGATGTCTGTCACCGGTGAGGCTGAGAATAGCTTCTGCCGTTTTCCCCACAGACAGAGCAGGACATGGAGCCTGCTGGCTGAGCGGATAGGTACGCTGAGCCGTGTCAAATAACAAAGTGGGACCGTCCTAGTGATCTTTTGTTCTTAATTTAAATTGGCTTCCACGTGGAGGAAAGAAATGCCCGAGCCACTGACTTGATCCAGCTGTGTGCCTAGCCCAGCAGTTACCCGAGACTGCTGCTCCAGGAACGGTCCCCAGAGCAGGGCTGGCTCCGTGCAATCCCTGTGACCAAGAGAGGTGTACAAGCTGAGATGAAGCTCTTAGAAACTGCTGTAGCAATCAGATATTGCTGCACCATCTAAGCACATGGTCAGTGGGCTTGTGTTTTATACATCTTCTTTTTAATTTTTTACTAATTCATTTTGATTGAGGTTGTAAAAAAGTATCAATCTACAATAGCTAAGAAAAGAAAATGCTCACCACCGCAGGTAGTTTGAGAAGCACTGTCCCAGACCAACGGAGAGCCTGAAATGAAGTAACAGGAGTTGAGTCATGTATACAGGCACATCCATGCTTTGAGAAAGAGGGTAGGATACGTGGAGGGGCAGGGTCGGGGGGGAGTGTGTGTGACGCAAAACTTATACAAGGATTTTCACTCTACATGTGTCCTCCTGGAGGAAGCTCTGATGACAAATCTGGGACATTTGATTTATTTTAGTCCAGTCTCCTACCATCAGGGATTATATAGCTCTATTCAGCCATCTATTTCAGAGTCTACTCTTAGAAAATATGTCTAAAAGTATCTAACCTACGTTCTTCGTTTTTCAGTTTTCAGGTCTTTCTAACTATCTTTTACAAAGCTAACCAGAGTTGGGTCTTTGAAACTCTTTTTTGCCTCCTGGATGTAATGTGAAAATGAGCTTCCGTGCCCAGGGAGGAATTCGCATTATACTAAATGAGCTCAGGGCAAAGAGAGTTATCGCCTAAAGGAGCCTCTATGCATTTTCTGTCTAAAAGCGTGTGGTCGAAAATGGCTGGGGAAATACAGAAATTGCACATAGTATCAGGAGAGAGACCCATGACCTTCGGGTTTAATAGAGTATTTATATTTTTGTTTACTAATATGATCTGTAAAATCATACAGAGTTGAATATCAGTGGATGTAAAACTTACTGGTAAATCCACAACAGATTCCACCTGTCTACTGAGAATTCAGCCACAGAGCCCTTGCAGACTTAATTCTCTTTAAGAGGAAAAGTCTGCACCATCCCAGACTCATGACACTGGGCTGCCTGAGGAGGGACCAGAGATGGTTATTTAGAGATAATAAGAAAACCTTGGTTCTTGGTTAAAGCAAGTTTTGATTGTGTATCTAAACTTGGAAAATACAGAAACATATTTAAAAATGACTAAAAATAACCACAATTTAACTTCGTGCGAAAATGACTGTCTACTTGTAGGGGTATGTCCTTTCAGTCATTTCCCTTATTTATACAAAATGTAGGGCTCACACTAGCATGATATAGAGAGAGTTGATTCTCATTATTCACAGCAGGTGTTGACATGGACACCAGATTAGCAAATACTGAACAATTTCTCCTAGGGCTCTGGTCCCAAAATTTTTGTCAGCCAGTCATACATAATCTTTCTTCGGTGTGATTCTGTTTAAAGACACCATATGTATTCATTAACATTGAACTCACGGCCAACCACAGTGTAATTCATGCCTGAATGACGCTTATCCACCACACGTGATGTGCAGGTGCCGCGTAGCCTTCATGTTCTTAGGAACACTGGGCAGCATTTCATCACTCTGCTCGGGGCCCTTTGCTCAGTCGCCAACCACAGCATGAAAACGTGAGAACACAGGTTCACATCAGAGAACTGCAACCAGAAGCATCGCCGTGTCCGGCTTCACCTGTGAACACGTGTGCCGGTCTCTGCTGTGTGCCCCCCTGTGAACGACGCCAAAAGTGCCCCAAGTGTTGACGTTGGGGTGACAAATCATGGCAAGTGGGTGAATTTGCAAAGATGGGATCTGCAGACCGGGAGGATCAACTGTGTAAATGTGGTTTTACACACAGCTTTAGTTTTCAACTTTTCATTACACTAGTAAACTTTCAATATGCATTATAGTGTCTTCAAATATTTTGTAATGCTTGAATTGATATACTTCGCTAAATATTCTTTCCAATTATAGAAGATGGTTACATAAAAGTGCTAAAAAGCAGACAAATCATTTTATTGGGTATGACCTAGAATTTTGGAACCTATCTGTGCTCTTCCCAAACCCCTCCCCATAAAAGCTCAACTGCAGGATGGAAGATGAAAATGGGTTCATGCCAAATCATTAAAAGACTTTAACCATATGGGACTGTCCAAATTTGGAAATTTTGTTCTCTCTTGAGGCCCTAGGAAGAAGGCAGTAACGCACATTTTCCCCTGAGAGGGTGTTATTTCTCGTCTCCTTCTCCTTTCTTCCTTTTTGTTTTCTTGTATTAATAGATGAATGTTGTGCTTGACTGAGTGATGCGTACATTGCTGTTTCTCACCAACTGTTTATACTGTTCACTGTTGAGAAGTAACTCTTTTAACTGATTTTGCCTCGCCTAGGTGTTGGCTTAAATGACGGACAGTGGCATTCTGTCTCCTTATCTGCCAGAAGGAATCGGCTGAGTGTGGTGGTGGACGGCCAGGTGGCCTCGGCTGCTGCTGCCCTGGGGCCCGAGCAGATGTACTCAGGTGGCACCTATTATTTTGGAGGTAAGAGAAGAGGCCAGACCATATATGGCCAATTGGACATTATTTGCAATTACTACCCCTGTGTCTTGGGGATGTCATCATGTTTTACCTACTGTCAATACTGTGGAATAATGTCTCACTTTCTTTGAACGTGGAAATGTTGAGTGGATGAAGATGACAATCTATTTGCTCCAGGTGAACTTACTTATGTTTACAGTTTCTACAATGAGATTGATTGAAATTAGACCACTCTGTTCCGGTCTGACTTTCAAACTTTGTTATGTTTTCCTAATGTTAAAAGGTCCTTATATGTCTTTTTCTGATTTTATGGGCTGGTTTTATTGCAGTATTTTCCTGAATGTGCCTCTTAGCATCTCTAGAGCATCTTTATTGCTTTCCTTCTTCCCAGTACAGAGGGCAAATATCATGCCGATGGACAAAATAACGTAAGCCAGTTAGTCATAGAAACCTCTTCTCGTTGCTAAGTAATCATGCATTGACTGATACGTGTGATGAGATTCGGGCATAGCCTTCCCCGGCAGGCTCCCCTCTCAGAGAACAAAAACAAGTGAAGTGTTTACCTGTCCAGTGATGTTTGATTGAACTGGAACCTTGGAAAGGAAAGCCTGGAAATGAAATGAATCTTTAGCCCTGAAAATTAAAATACAGTGATACCTCGGTTCTCGAACATAATTCGTTCCAGGAGGATGGTCGAGAACCAAATTGTTCGAGAACCGAAGCAATGAAACCAATAGGAAATAATGGAAACTGGATTAATTCGTTCCAAGCCCCAGAAAATGCCTATTTACTGGCCTAATTTGTATATAATATGTAGAAAAACATAAGTCTCAACAAGAAATAAAAGTGTACAGTATGTCTAAGGGTGAAATTCAGTGTAAAGCGTGACTCTCTCCACAAAGCGTGACTCTCTCTCTGCACTCACACTGACGACGCAAGCAAGGCGCGCTGGGCCGAATGAACGCCATTCGGCTCAACTCGGCTCATCTCGGAAGTTCGAGTTCCAAATATTTGTTCGGATTCCAAGACAAAAGTTTCTCGAATCTCCTGGTCGAATACCGATTTGGTCGAAAGTCAAGGCGTTCGAGAACCGAGGTATCACTGTACAACTTATTTGCCATTAGAAAGGCAAAGTTGTAAAACTATTAGTAGTAAGACATTCCTCATCATGACTTGAGATGTTTCTTGTTGTTGTTATTTTAAATTCTAAGTGTTACTTCTGTCTAGAATCACTTTTGAATTTGGTGGAAAGCCCGATCTTTATTATTGATCAATAAAATACAGGTTCCTTTGAAAGAATTGACAGTGAGCACACAGGTCATGAATCATTCATCTGATGTTAAGGACAAACAAACAAACAACCCCCTACGTAATCTATTACTGTGAAAGGCAGCACAGTGCCAACACTCTTAAAAGATATCATTTCTTCCTTCAGTGAGATTTGGGCATTTCTGAACCAAGTTGTTTATAAAACCTGCTGGAATATATGATCGATTGTATGGTAATTTGTAGGAATACATTCGGGTGGTAAGATATATAGACTAACTTAACCAAGAGCTCTTACTTCAAAGAAAATAAACTTAGAAGCACTAACAGAGATAAGAAGAAAAAGAACAAGTATACTGTCAAGTATGATGCAAAAAAAAAAAGACAAAAAAAATAGCCTGGATAAAAGTGTAAATCATGAAAATGGAATCATCATTCTTAAAGTATTTTATGTCCGTGTTCAGATTTAGCAATGCCCACCTATTTTTTTGTAGAGGAGTTTGATTGCCTTTATTCATACCCATAATATTTTATAGTGAAATAGATCACATGTGCACTCTGTAATGTTGATTGTTTTTATTATGATCCGTATGACACACACCATTATATTTAAGTAAACTTTGAATCTGTGAATAGTTTTAGATTTACCGAAAAGTTGCAAAGGTGTGCAGGGACTTCCCATATTACCCCGCCCAGTTTCCTCCATCACTCACATCTTACATGATAGACACAATTTAAAGATTCCTAATTATTATTATTATTATTTTTTGAAAATACACAGCTACACATGCATTTCCCAGCTTCATAGCATCGCCAACACCCATTTGTCCTCCCAGGACCACACCCTTTATCTCTCCAGTTGAATACTATCTTGAATTTGAGGTTTATTCTTTTTCCTCATGATCTTTATAATTTGACATCTATTAAGGTGTTTCAGTGTTTTTAAAACAACATACTGTGGAAGCTTCCATCGTAAAATCCCAACTTCCAGTCTTAAAAAAAAAACAAACCAATCTTATTTACTTAGGGATCTCTGCTTATTTAATCATCTTCTCAATTGGTACCCTTCAGTACCAGCCTGTGTTTCATCCTGGCATGAGGCTCTAGTCACTAAATACCTGCCCCGTGAACTCCAGGGCTCCCTATGGTTTCCAGGCTGGGAGCAAGGGTCCAAGAGAAAGCAGGGGCCTTCTGCTGCCTGGCGCCTCCAGGACCCGGAGAGAGGGCTGGACCGTCCCTCTGGAAGCCTGCTTAGGGCTTTGGGGCCGGGAATTCTGGAGTCCAGGAGTGGATGGGAGAGTGAGCAGAAGGGTCCAAGTGGGCACATCACCTTACTTTGTGAGACCTCTTGGGGCCGTGAGCAAAAGCATGGCTGGATAAGGGCTAGACCGAGGTCCCCTAAGTGCAGGACTGGCACAGGGGCCCTGATTGCCTGAGTGGTCCTGGCCATGGGGTGACCAACTCCCCCCCCCCACTTTAGCATTGAACGCTAGGAGTCCTGGGAACCCCCCTCCCGCCCAGGGCAAGCTGTGACAGGTGGTCACCCTAGAACGCTCTCTGATCTGTGTGGATGAGAGCCCCCTTTATTACTAGGCTGTTTTACCTATGTGGAAGGCTTTTCCTAGCTAGTTCATTCTTCAGCCAGTTTATCTTCAAGTAAATAAATATCCCATGTTCTGAGACACTTCCCATCAGCTCTCCCTAGCTTCTTTTTAAATCAACAGCAAGTTTACAGTTCTCCGATCAGCAAATGGTCAGTCTGACCCGGCTGCAGTGCCCACGGCGAAGGAGCAGCCTGTTGCGGGCGCCTGGCTGCATCTCCATTCTGTGTCGTCTCAGGAGCCCATCCTGTTGGGCGCGTGGGCGTGTCTTGAACTCTCAGCTCTCCATGGGTACCACGCCAGCCTCTGCTGTCTGTCCACCACTTTTCACTTTTTTCTGTCTCCCCCCCCCCTCCCAGCTCCCAATGCATTCTTTTCAAAAAGCCAGACTGCACCATGGCCAGCTTTTATCATATATTAATGATCAACTTTAAATCTGGGTTCTGCAGATGAATTTTTGCATATTCTCTGTGGACAAAAAGGGGCCACATACTAACACAAACTCAGGGAAGGCCCGTGAGGTGGCCTTGTAAACTCAAAGACCTAAAGTAACCACAAAGGATGGTCAGGAATTAAGACTTTTTTTTTTACTTTATTTATTTATTTTTATTAATTAATTTTTGTTACAGATGTTTCTCCTTTTCCCCCCACTGATTCCCCCCTCCCCCTCCCTCCCTGCCCTTTCCCCAGTTTGTTGTCCATGTCCACTGTTCATGCACACGTGCATATAAGTTCTGTGGTTTATCTCTCCCCCACCACCCCCCTATTTAGGGGATTGTCAGTCTGTATCCCACTTTCGCGTCTCTGGGACTACCCCCTTCCTCAGACTGTTATGTTCATTATATTCCACAAATAAGTGAGATCATATGAAAACAAATGGGCAGAGGAACTAAATAGACACCTCTCCAAACAGGACATACAAGTGGCTAAGAAACATATGAAGAAATGCTCAACATCACTAATGATCAGAGAGATGCAAATTAAAACAACAATGAGGTTTCACCTCACACCTGTCAGAATGGCCACCATCAACAAATCATCAAACAACAAGTGTTGGCGAGGGTGTGGAGAAAAGGGGACTCTAGTGCACTGCTGGTGGGAATGCAGACTGGTGCAGCCACTATGGAAAACAATATGGTGTTACCTCAAAAAATTAAAAATTGAACTTCCATTTGACCCAGTGATCCCACTTCTAGGAATATACCCTAAGAAGCCTAAAACACCAATCAGAAAGAATATATGTACCCCCATGTTTGTAGCAGCACTATTTACAATCGCTAAGATCTGGAAACAGCCCAAGTGTCCATCAGTAGACGAATGGATCAAAAAGCAGTGGTACATATACACAATGGAGTACTATGCAGCTGTAAGAAAGAAAGATCTCTTATCCTTTGAGACTACATGGAGGGACCTGGAAAGTATCATCCTAAGTGAAACAAGCCAAACAGAGAAAGACAAATTTCATATGATCTCACTTATTTGTGGAATTAAGACTTTTTAAACTAAGCAGTTAATGGTAGGTAATCATGTTCTAGGTTCCCATCTTCCCTGACAAAGGTCAACTTTCACCTTGATAGAGCCTATGGGTTTTTTTGCATCTCTGATAACGTTCCTTTGGAATGTCAGGCTAACTTCCCTTTTTCCAGGCCCTTCAGGACACAACCAATGCACCAGGGTGGAGACCATAAATCTTCTCATTGTTATGTTGATTGTTAACTGTTACCTATCCGGTACCCACCTATGTAAAAGAAGCATGTGTCTATTTTACTTTTTATCTAATCCCAGAGGTCCAGTTCCGCCTCCTCCGCCCCTTTGGTCTTTCTCCTGCCTTCCTAATCTATCACCAGTGGATTTCATGTAACCCACTTACTTCCCTTTTGATTATAATGTATAAAATAAGGTGCAAAACTGCCATTCTCTAGAGCATTATCTCAATCCATTGAGATTTTGCTTCCTGGCAATAGTCTCAGTTTGGCTCAAATAAACTCACAAAAATTCTTCCCAGATATGAATGTTTCTTACGTTGACATCTCCTATGTGGTCTTTGTGCTATTGACTAACACACTGTATGGCACCAGCTGGAGATGCCAAACGGTGTGCAGAAATCTCAGACTCCTGCTTGTGTAGAGACACATGACCCACCCGCTGAACTGGCTGCGTCACCGTGAAGTCAAACCCGACATCTCACTCTGGCACAGTGACATCCAGTGATAATTTATCTGTCATCCTCAGAGGTGCTTTACATGCTGACTGCCTCTACTAATGGACCCATCCATTAATTCAGCATTAAGTATTCTGCAGAAATCTTCATCGGTTGGAAGTTTTGTTTCAGATGGGTTCAGGGCTGCTCCTCTCGCTGTTGCGTTCTATTCGATTGTGCAACCTGTTATCACAGACCAGTGAAACTCACCTCCCTCGCACCCTTCTTTGTTCTTAGCATCTCTTGCTACCGAACATCGTGGCTAGGAATCTGAAAGGCCTGGCAACAGGAGGCTGTGCTTTCTGTCAAGTTGCGTGACCTTTCCTTCTGACTACGAGTTTTCTTAGTTTGATTTCCTACAGGCATGTTGTGCAATTTATTTTATCCTGAAATAGTTTGAAATGTGTCAGGAAACACCACCTGGAGAAAAGGAGATTAGCAGGGCTGTTTATATTCCTGGCATATTGTAGTTGCCCCGAATATTATTGAACTATTATCCTCTCAATTCTTATTTTCACATTCTTAATTGGTTAATAAGTCATCTAGAAAACATATAGAGATATGGTAACTATATCCTACACCACAGAGGTAATTTAAACACTGAAAATGTGTATGGTGCTATGTATTATAAATTGATACTCAAAGAGCTTTCATTACCTTTTTTTGATCAATTAAATTTGAAACTTGACTCTCTCCCTTGGTTAAAATATAACATTTCAATATGTCTGATAACAGTTTTGAATAGGAATCTGGCCCCGAATTGCCATGTAAATGCATTTTGTTAGGAAAACAAAGCATTAGGGGTAAGCATCCTCAGTCAAAGTATCTAATGAAATCCCCAGGTAGAAAACTAGCATGGATGGTACAGAATTAGGAAGTTGCTGATTCATTTCTTATTCTTTGAAATTGTAATAGTGGTTGACAACCATAACGGCAAAGAAAGATTAATGAAAAATGCAGAAGTATAATATATGTGTTCATACTCCATAAAATTATTTATTTCACTTGGATAGAGAAACACTTAGAACATCATTAAATCCCAGACAATAATGGTCAATATTATAGTTCTTTATTATTTAAATAATTAGTAACAGGTCTTAGATAAATGTTAGAAAAAATTAATATGAAACAACATTTTTTTTTATGAGGTAAAGAATAAATAAAATCAAACAGTGAAATGTTTTTGACATTAAGCCATTATGAGTTATTAAACTGCATGTATAGATGGCTCTTTTACGCATATTAAAGAAAAGCATTTAATTAAATAAAATAGTTGGTAATTTTAATTTAAATTGATATAACTTTGTTTCCAAATAGGTAGCTTCACATGCAAAGGCATTTCACTATTACTGATTCATTTATCTACAGTGTATATTTTCATCTTTTCTACTCTTTCTGTGTTCCAACAGACTAAGCGAAAGGTTAACGTCAGTGGTGTGTTGTGCGGGCAGGCTAAATAGCAATCCCAGATGGTGAATAAACAAAAATTGGATTTATTTCAAGAAAAGGGGGTGGGGGATGGGGATACTCAAAGGGAAGGGCGACACATCACTGAGCCATGGGGTATTGGGTGGATGAAGGCAGCCCCTAGGAGCTGGAGTTTTGTCCTCATATGCTTTCACTGGGAGGAAGCTTTTGTAGTCAGTGGATTTTGGGGTCTTGGTTGATGGGTTTGGACAGTGGGTTTGGGTCTATAAGAATGTGAATGTGCAATTGGGTACTTCTTTGGCAGTTTTGGTTCCTTATATGGTTTCGAAACCAACCGGTGGTGATCGGATCCAAGTTTGTTGTCATGCAAAATCTAAGAATGAGTTCACGGACAAAGGGGCAAGCGAGAGCAAAGTTTATTTGAAAAATAGACAGACTCCCTGCAGCTGGGAGGGGACCCAAGTGGGTTGCTGGTAAAGCTCTTTTGTCTAGGGGTAGGTATATGCCTTGCTAGCTTCTGATTGGTCCTTTCAAAGGATTCTGCCTTTGAAACATCCATACATTTTAAAGTTTGTGTTTCCTGCCTAACTGGGTTTAGCCCTAGGTCATAGAGCTCTAAATTCATATTACCCTTCTGGAAACAGCATATGTGAGCACCATTGAATAAAAAAAAAAAAGCCCACCATATCAGGTGAATTTGGGCAGATTAGATTAGCAAAGATATGTATATTGTCTCATAACATTCCCTAGTTGGAAGTGGACAGGTTCTGATTTAAAAACAGACATTGATTAGCTATTTCTGACTTTTGTACAGAAGCATTATTCCTAGGAAAAAGTATCTATAGAGGCCTTAGTGGCTTCCCTTTGTATGATAATTTCAATTTCTCCCAGACTATTAGTGAGGAGAAGTGGAAACACCCTTGGAGCAACCCTATGCTTGCTTTTGGTTTCTTTTCTAAATCCAATTTTGGTTTTCTATATTCCTTTTTGAGGTAACCTGGCTTTCTGCCATATAAACACACTCTATAGTATTGCAGCAGAACTCATTCAGCAATTCTGTTGCCTGCTCCCAGAAGCCAGTAGATATATTAATTAGAATAGGTCAGAATCTCCAGCACTATATTCTTTAACAGTAAATAAAGTTCATTTGCAAACCCATCAGGGACCCAGAGAAAGGAACTATACAATTGCTGTTCCCCTCTTGCCTGAAACCAGCCTTTTCTGTTTTTGTTTATTTGTTTGTTATGTAATTGACCTGTGCTCCTTCCAGGAGCTTCTAATTTGCAATCAGGATAAGCTTTTGATGTCTATAAGTCAGGAGTATTAATGAGGGCTGGGAGTTTCTGGCCTTGGAGTCACAATTTCCCATGTTGATTTTAGTTTTATTTTAAAACCTGTAGCATCTGAATAAACCTCCAGATCTACTGGGTACTGGGTGAAAATGTGCTGCCTGTGTGCTGAGCTCCACGTCCTCCCGAACCTCTCCACGTGTCTCAGCCTTCCCTTCCCATGGTCCCGTCCCTTACTGCCTAACCTGCCTCTGTCTGCTCAGTTTGATTCCTGGTGTCTGGCATTGCTTGTCCAGCCAGTCCTCTGGGTCTTTGTTCTCCTGTGGAAGCTTACAGCATGGCCACTAAGAATTGTATTGCCTTGTGAATCCTGACACTAAGTTCCTGTGTTTAAATTATGTATACTTTAATACTGCTGGCATGTGCTTAGGATTCTGGAGATAATATATGCATAATTTTAAAATTTGAATCAAGTCAGTATCCTTGCACATAATTATTATAACAGTAGTAATTTCTTATGAATCCTATGATAATAAAGAGAAATGCTTTGTATGAATTGAAATTTGTAATTTAGATCAAACTAATGATAACTGCAATGGGCTTTTTCCTCTCTCTTTTAATTTAATAAAATAATCAAATGCCTATTTTATTTTTTTTAATGACGTATTCCATGATACTGAATTTCTACTCATTATAATGTATCCTGGTTTTACTTCATTTTGTTTTTATCAGGTTGTCCTGACAACAGTTTTGGATCCAAATGCAAAAATCCCTTTGGTGGATTTCAGGGATGTATGAGACTCATTTCTATCAGTAACAAAGTGGTAGATCTGATTACAGTCCAGCAGGGGTTCCTGGGCAACTTCAGTGACCTTCAGATAGACTCCTGTGGGATCACAGACAGGTAAGACCATCTCACTCCTTTATTTTTATCCGTCTGTTGCCAAAGGCTTGGCGGCAGATTAAAATTTATATGTAAAACAAACATTTTTTCCCCATCCTCTTTTCCACCAACATCTTTTCCATGGGAAATGGATTATTATATCCACATTAGAAATATGAAAAATATACCTTTAATTTTATAGTTCATATTTGCTTTGCTAAAATTTAGGTAGAAAACATGTGGCCATGTGGTTTACCTGGACACGTACTACCATTTCACAAAAGATAACATCAATGCTGCTATAATTTTAGGTGGCTATAAATGTGTCAAAAATACGCCATTAAACTTAATAGCTTAGGATACCCTGACAGTCATATTGCTCATCTGGTACCAAGAAATTGGACACCCATTTGGTCAGTTGTCAAATTTAACTGGTTGCTATGCTCCTAATCTGTACCTTTAAACACCCACTGCTATCTTCCCTGCAGGGAAGTGAACGGGAACCTCTCCCGTGGAAAAGTTTGCACCTGTAGTGTTGATGAAGGTAGAAGGCTGATCCGGTAGGAAGTCCAGGGCAGGCCATGGCGGTGTAAGATTTGGGAGTTCACTGTAGAGGCCAAGCAGCTTTTTGAATGATAATTGATAGTTAATCATTTAAAGGTATTTTTAGGCATGTTCAATTATAGCCAAATAATCTCTTCAATCATGCTTTAATATGAAGGCTGTCAATTGTAATTATTGAGTTCAGTGGGATGTCATGACCATTACAGATTTTTAAACATTTAACCATGTGACAGACTTAGCCCCTACCTTATAGTAGTGCTCAATATATATTTTGAATCACTTCATAAAATCTGAGTTTTAAAAATAATATTTTATTTGTATGAAACATTTTATCACCACGAAAACTCATCTATTTCTATCTGGTAGACCATCTAGTCTACCAGTGTCTGTTGGTCCTATTTGAACACTAGTCTATTTTGTTATGTTTGTAAAAAATAATTATAATCTTATTTAACAGTGAATTAGAAGGGCATCATTTCTTTTCTATGGATACACATTTATTTAACCCAGTTTTCAGATAAAACAATTCTTTCCATAACGAAAGATGACATGTCAAGGGAGAACTTAGACAATAAACCTCAACTGGCTTGATTTGGGGATTAAATGGCAGTGACCTTTTCCACAGTTACCGCCACACCAGCTCTGGGCCCTTAATCCGGTTTTGAGGCAGGCATATAATAAGGCTCCCCAGATCTGCTCCCCCAGGGTGGGGCTCACTCACAAAGGCAGGGAGCTCCCACCTCTGAGGCTAACAGCCATCAGCACAGTGGGGAGGTCCGTCAGCCCTGAATGCTAGTCACGCTGACCGACTCAGGCTGCAGATAGCTCTGCGGCCTGGCAGGTCCGCACCTCTCCCACGCGGGGCGTGGTTGCTCTGGTGCTTCTCCAGAAGCCGCCTGCCTGCTCTGGGGAGGCGCACTCCTAAACCAGAGCAAGGTCCGCATTCGGTTTCAATATCACACCCGAAAAGGCTTCAGAAGAGCAAGTTATGCAGAGGTCTTGACTACACATTTTTTCTTTTATCCTCACCCGAGGACATTTTTTGATATTTTGTTCAGATAGAGTGGGAGGGAGAGAGAGAGAAACGTCGATGTGAAAGGGACACATCGAGTGGTTGCCACCCACACAACCAACCAGGGCTGGGGACAAACTGCAACCGAGGTACGCGCCCCTAGTGGGAACCGAACCCGGGTCTCTCCAGACCACAGGCAGACACTCTAACAGCTGAGCCAAACCGGCCAGGGCCACCTTTTTTTTTTTTTAAGATAAACTTTATCTCATGGTAACCCTTGCAATCTTAGAAAAATAGCAAAAAATCAAAGTAACTTTTACATTTGTATACCTTTTAAGTTTCCAAATGTATCATTCTTCTAATACAACAAGAAAAAAAAAAATAGTCATCCTTTGGTATCTCCTGGGGCATTGGTCCCAAACCTCTGCAAATACCAAAATCCATAGATGCTCAAGTCCCTTTTATAGATGATGTATTTATAACCCACACACATCCTCCCCTGTGCTCTAAATCATCTCTAGATGACTTATAATAGCCAATACAATGTAAATGCTATGTAAATAGTGCTTATACTGTATAATTTAGGGAATAATGACAAGAAAAAAAGTCTGTACATGTTCAATACAAATGCAACCACCGTGGGCCTACCTCTCAGCACACGTCAGCAACAAGGGAACTTTTTTCCCCTGAGTGTTCTCCATCCCTGGTTGGTTGAGTGCACAGGTGCAGAACCGGAGGGTGCAGAGCTGACCCGATTCCTTTATTTTGGTCTCATATGCTCTAGCTATTGACATAGCTTCCATAGCATTAGTAAATAGAGTCTTTTAAAAATAAATATGTGTACTAGCTCTGTGCTAAGCACTTAACAAAAATTCGTATTTATTTATTTTTAATTTTAGAGCTTTTATTGAAACAGGGAAAGGAGAAACTGGCAAGGACTATGGAGAAAGAAAGAAGTGATGTGGTCAAGTGTCAGAAATATTTTTCAGTGTCTTTCAAGCAGGCATCTAGATTCCAAGTCTTTTAGTATCTCTCAGGAGCCATTGAGATGACAAATAAGAATAAATGCACATATTTTAAAAGAGTATTTGTTCATGTTTGGAAACAATGTATGCAAGACATGATTGCTTTTTTAAAATTGCAAGATACAAGAAGGTATAAAGAAGTCAATAAAATCATTCATATCCTCATTACCAGCTATTCATTGTTAAACAAACATTTTACATAGTTACCTTCACACACACACACACACACACACACACACACACACACTCACGCAGAGTAAAAAACAAAGTGCAGGATAAAAAAGCTCTTCCCATTTAGTAATAGTTTATATTGATATATATTCATTTATCATGAAAGCATCTACAATTATTTGAAAGAGCACTATATATCTGAGTATTTTATTCAATTCACTAATAAGTGTTAATGATTTTAGAAATATATATGTGTTTAAATAACTTCACACTCTCCCTGAATTAGTATTAAATTTGTGTGTGTGAATGTCTGTGTGTAAAGAAGGTGTGTGTGTATAAGGAGTATGGGAATGTGTGTGGAATGCCCTTCCACGTGCATGTGAGTGGGCAAGGATGGTGTGGATGTGTGTGAATGTGTGCATGTATGTGTGCATGTGTATGGGTTAATGCGTGAGGATTGTGTGGGTATTTGTGCAAGGACGTAAGGGGCTTTTGGTATGTGAGTGATGTTATGAATGTGTGTGTATGTGTGAGACTGCAGTGACTCTGTTCTCAAATTAATTTTGAATTCATGAATATGCATTTAAAGTAATCTTCACAAAAACCCTTAGAACCTGTTCTTACTTGTATTTATTTCTTAGGAGTGCGGAAACATGCTCAGGTGGGTTGGCTATGACGGCGTAGCTCCAAGGCAGAGCCCGGCATCCGCTCAGCCCTCTGGTTCCAGCAAGTCCCTCTGACATGTCACCTGCCGGGCCATGCACCCCTCGGTGCACATTAACATCACTGTGGTTCATATTTAGTCAATGTATAATAAACACAGAATTAATGGCTTAATAAATTACAATGAAAAATGAACAGGAACATTAAAATATATTAAAAACTGACAGGAACGGAAATAATGTAGGTCTTTTTACTCTAACTTGAAGTTGGATCAAATCTACACATAATGGAGTTTATATATTTACACACGTGCTCACACTCACCCTTATACAGTCTCTCACGCATATACACACCCGTGTGCTCACCACACACATACCCACAAGCTCCCTACCGTGACAGTCCTTATGCACATGCACTCCTTGTACATACGTTCACATACTTCCTCACACATTAACCCATGCACACTTACATACAAGTACTCTCTTGCATGCACAATCTTTACACACTCATAGTCGTAAGTTCATTCTCACACTTATTACACACTTCCTTACACACAGTCGCTCACACATAAACACACCCAGGCTTGTCTACAAACCCTCCCCCTGTTCTCTGTGGAAATGCAGGGGAGGAGGCCCTAAGCCCAGGGGGTCTGGGGGTGTGACTGAGGGGTAAGGGCAGAACTGCAAAGGGAGCTGCTGTCCATGTCCCCATGTCTCGGCAGAAACCCAAGCAGCGCGGGGTCAGGGGCGACAGTTGTTAGGGCACAAATACTAAGTAGCTTGGACCTAAAGCACTTATTAAACAAAAGAATTATTTATTTCTTTTGACATCAACTTTTTAAGACTCTCTTCTGATTGGGAAGGTCACGATCTCAGGCCTGACATCACCTACCCTGTCCTGACTTCAGGAAGGCAGAGGGTGTGATGTGTCCCCGGTCTCCAGTGAAACCTGGGCCACAGACACTGCGGACAAGAACTGAGGCCAAGCCCTGGCCGGTTTGGCTCAGCGGTTAGAGCGTTGGCCTGCGGTCCGGAGAGACCCGGGTTCAGTTCCCGCTAAGGGCACGTACTTCGGTTGCAGTTTGTCCCCGGCCCTGGTTGGTCGTGAGGGTGGCAGCCACTCGATGTGTCCATTCACATCGATGTTTCTCTCTCTTTCTCTCTTCCTCTCTCTCTCCCTCCCACTCTACCTGAACAAAAAATGGAAAAATGTCCTCGGGTGAGGATAAAAATAAATAAATAAAAAAAAAAAAAAAAAAAAAAAGAACTGAGGCCACTGTGTCCCAACATCACCGTGGCAACCTCAGCAGGCCCTGCACTTGCCTCCTGGCCTCCCCAGCTGGCGACCTTCAGCTCTCCCCCTGGGCTGCTCCTCCATCCACTCCCACCTCTGTCCAGGAGCCTGTGCCGTCTCCCTCCAGGCTGGTCGCTGTCCCCTGCAGTCCCCAAGCTCCCTCCCCCTCATTTCCCTGCTGACAGTTGATCTAAAGATCATGCTGTCATTCTGTGTCCTGTATACTGAAGACACGGCTTGTTTATTTGGAGGAGAAAGGGGCTAGAGTGTTGATTTTATTGTTTGGAGGAAGGATATGAGATTTAAATTCGGGTGGCCATCACTGTCCTGGACCCAGAGGCACCCAGCTCTTCAATTTTCCTAAATGTGGTAATGTTACAGGTTTTTACTTCCGTGTCATTCGTCCCAGCCATGTTTCACCTTGTTCTGAAACTTGTATTGGAATGTCTAGGGAATCAGGATAAACCGAAACGGAACACATCACTTCAGTTTGGGGAATGTGGATGTGCCTTTGTTCCAGGTCACAAACAGTGCAGATAATGATGGCAAAGCCTAAGGGAAGGCTAGAGAAATGGGTAGATGGGTTGTTTTACTTTGTGTCGGAATGACTGGTAAGGAGACAAGTATACAATACAATTGTTTAAAACATTTAGTGAGAATTAGCACTTCACTCTACAATGCAATCTACTGTGGGCAGCTAGTCAAACAGAGCTGCTACATGATGGGTTTAAACAAAATCCACGGTTCAGTCTTTCACGTAATACAAAAATGTGAAAAGTCAAGTCTAACTAACAATCAAGGAACATGGATCTGTATCTTTCAGTAGCAGATCAGTTAGAAATAGCACATGTATAACAGTAAATAAAGAGTCTTTATTTAGAATTTTAGGCTTGGCCACTTATGTCTGCCCCCGTTGAAAATATGATTTTAGGTCTGATAAACAACAGACCTCTTCTCTTCTGATGACCAACTAGACTTGTTACTGTTTTGATTAATTTTTTTTTTCTCTTGCCCAGTTGGCATGGCTCAGTGCTTTGAGCATCGTCCTATGGACTAAGAGGTCCCGGTTTGATTCCCAGTCAGGGCACACGCCTGGGTTGCAGGCTCGATCCCTAGTATGGGGCGTGCAGGAGGCAGCCGATGGATGTCTCTCTCTTGCATCGATGTTTCTACCTCTCGCTCCCTTCCTTTCTCTCTACAAAAATCAATAAAAAACATTAAAACATTTTTTCTTTTCTAGATTATTTATTTGAAATGCTTAAAATATTAACTACATAGCAAAGCATTCTTTGAATGGATTCTTATGAATCTATAAAAATGCTAAAATGTATGTAAACTTAATTGGCTTAGAAAGATGCCCATTATTTATTTTTGAATTTTTAAAAGGCAGATTGTAAAATAACATGAATGCTATGATTATATACATATACACACACACACACACATACATACATACATATATATAATGTATATATACACAGAAACATAAATATTTACGTTTATAGTGGTAATTGTTATATATTGATATTGTAAATTATATTTCTTTTCTAGTGTTTCCTAAATTGTTTGATTTCTATACATTGGACATCTATATTTTATCAAGAAAAATCAATAACATTGTTTTCAGTTGAAGTTGGAAAAATCCTGTCAGTAAAACATGAAGTTCCCATCCTTAGTTTTAATAAAGGAGATGGCAGAAACACCATCCTAAAGGTATCCTTGGCAGGGTTTTTAGTTAATTTACTTTTTAATCTGGGATAAATGAGAACATTTAAAACCTTGGACACAATGTATTATTGTTCAGTAATTTTTTTTCACTGTGTCCTAAGCCAAAAGATATACCTGCTACTTTCACTTCAAAAGTGGTTTAGGCTCTGGCCGGTTTGGCTCAGCGGTTGGAGCGTCGGCCCACGGACCAGAGAGAGTCCCGGGTTTGGTTCCTGCCAAGGGCATGTACCTCGGTTGCAGTTTGTCCCCAGACCCTGTTGGGGTCGTGTGGGTGGCAGCCACTCGATGTGTCTCTCTCACATCGATGTTTCTCTCTCTCTCTCTTTCTCCCTCTCTCCCTCCTGCTCTGTCTGAAGATATATGCAAAGATGTCCTCGGGTGAGGATAAAAAAAAAAAAAAGGAATGTATTAGTGTCTAATGTTGACATTGAACTACCTCAAGCTAGTCAGTCACATGGGGCCTGACAGATGCGGAGTGTGCCTATGTTTCTCTTGAAAGCAAATGTCCTTGAAAGCAAATGTCCTGGGGCCCCTGTGAGTTTACTGGAGCGCCCTGTTGGAGTTGTGTGTACCCCGCACCTTCCACGCTCCTGGATGTGTACCCACGCGAGTGAGGGTGCCCCTCATTCCCACGTCCTTCTCTCCTTCAGTTTTTCTTCCTTTAAATATTCAGTGTAGTAAATCAATATGATTGAATGTTGTTATTTTAGGTAAGCTATTGATATTTCTGGCAACCTACTGAATTACTGTTGTGTAGCGTAGGGAAAAGAAAGGGCTCAGAGAGAGTGAGGCATGTTGAAAATTAAGCGGCCGCAACCACTGGAGAATCGGCGGCAATCTGATGAATTCATTGATCTCGGGCTGAGTTCTGCGATGAAAGCGCTTTAAGGGCAGGCGGCGTAACCATTAGTTGTGTTAAATGTGCTCCTCACGTTCCGGCGGTCACCCTCCTTCACATGACCACGGGCAATGAGCACATGACCACTATCGATGTTGTATGTCTCGCGTGTAAAGCAGTGATGTGTCTGCGCCTTCTTCCAGGTGTTTGCCCAACTACTGCGAACACGGAGGCGAATGCTCGCAGTCCTGGAACACCTTTCACTGCAGCTGCGCCCACACCGGCTACCGGGGCGCCACCTGCCACAGCTGTAAGCCCAGCCCTGCTTCTGGCCTCTGTTCCGTGTCCTTGTTCCACCTCCCCTTTCATGGCCGTGTGCAGATATGCCGCATGTGCAGCATGTGTTGGAACGTGCGCTCCTGAATCGTAGCATCCTGTTGATTTCTAGGTGTCCCAAATCATTTCATTGTGATCCCCAGCTTAGTAAGTGGGTACTATTATTATCCCTACTCTACTCCTGAGCTAACAGAGAGAGAGTACTCCCCTCAGCCGAGGCTTCGGAAATGGCTGAGCCACAGCGAGGACGGGAAGACTTGCCTGGGGTCACGACCAGTGCCTCTGCCTTTCCTGTCGGGAACCACGCACCGGTTTGCTGAAACGTCAGTGTGCGTGGTGCATGCCCTTCTGCTGTCCGGTGGTTTGAGAGCATCATGGGGACACCCAAGGCGCTAGTGGCCGTCATCAGCCTCACCCCTCTGACTTCCACTGCGCGCTACTTTGCACTGTGGCCGGAGCTGGGACTGGGATCCTGGGCCTCCAGCCGTGGGGCTCTGCGAGGAGCCGCTCAGAGGTCTTGCCGGGTCGTGGCCAGAGCCATCCCGGGCGTCAGCTTGCACGTGGCCTCCTGAGATCATGAAGAATGTCTGCTGTTCCTCAAGCCACATCTCACTGTAACCGGAGGCCCAGATTCTCAACCCAGGTCACCCAGCTGGTGCAGGGACAGTATATTTGATTTCTATAGACTCCATCATCCCAATGAAGTAACTAACTCAGCACAGAAATCTAATTGAATGTATTTTGATGAACTGATTGACTTGTCTTTCATTGTCATCAGTGACTGAATTTAAATATGAACCCAAACACTCTGAAGGAAAAAAAAACCAAAAAAAAAAAAAACCCCAGATGATAGACAAATAAGATATTTTTATCTGTGACCCTCAATTTGAACCCAATTATTGAATTAATTTATTGGGTTCTTGAGCAGGTAGTCTAAATGGAGCTGAAGGTTTTCTTGTGTTTTTTGCCAATAGCCATTCTGAGAAGTGGGGCCAGGATGACAAGTTATTTACTAGTTATTCTGAAGTCGTCACTATCTGCAGCATGAGTAGAGGGAGGGGCGGGGATGGGGTCTTTTAAAAGGTCTGATTAGAAAACAATATGTTAAGCAGCCATGTTATAAAATGTCAAGCAATGCGCATGAAGTAAAAGGACTCCTAATTACCCTCACCCAGTCATGTGACCTTTCTAGTACCCACCTTCGCTCCAAAGTTACGTGTAGGTCCTGCCAACATCTCTCACGGAATTTGTGAACATAGGTGTGTGCATGCAGATGAATATAAATGAACCATTTTTACATGCCCAGTTCACTGCACAGAGTGCAAATGTGACCAGAAAGCAATCCACGCTTCTATTTTTGTCTGTGTAATATATAATAGGACAAAATAAAACCATCAGACTGTGGAGGGGTGGAGAGGTAATTTGGCATGATTATCTGAAATTTTGTAACACTGAGCAAATTAGTTATGTTATTTCATATTGTCTAAAACTCATTAACATAATTTTCCAAAATTTAGAATAGATCAGGGAAGGACATTCAGGGGATGATTTATTTCTCATTTCACAGAATAAGAAGCTTGATGGAAATTATCAGTCCATTTGGCCAAGTATTTATTGAAATTGTGCATCATATATAGGTGTTAATATCAAACCTTGTACATGGAAAATAAAATGAAGGACATCCAATTATGGATCATAGCACATCGTATCCACTTGGAGGAATATTTCATATAAATATTTCTTTGCTTTGAATTTTGATTATCTTGAATTCTCATTACAGAGCATTGTAGAAAGTTTCTTGTGTAAATTACTTCTTAAGTTATTGAGATAGTTACAACATTATTTAAAACTTTTCAATTGCTGTGGCTATTAGCAGATTATTTAAGGAGATTGCAGCATTGTGCCTCAGATGGTGGGTTATTATGGACGTTGAAAGATCCATTTGGATGGATGTCCAAAATTATACTTATAAGTGTCTTAACATTTAAAACACTCACTTTTTCTTTTGTTGCTCTATCTAATGTGAAAATGAACTAAATTTTCACTTTGACCGAGTATTCTCATATTCCTTTAGTGGTAAAAGTAAATGCCATAAATTACAGCCTCATGCTCCCCTTTTTCTATCTAACCTATTTCATTCGTATCAATCTTATTGCAAAAGAATATTGTTTTAAAGTAGGTTTTACCTTGTCTTCTGGTCAGTGATCTACATATTATATTATTCCATTTGTGATAATCCATCTCTTTTACAGCTATCTATGAGCAATCATGCGAAGCCTATAAGCACAGAGGAAATACTTCAGGGTTTTACTATATAGACGCAGATGGAAGTGGTCCCCTAGAACCATTCCTTCTATATTGCAATATGACTGGTGAGTTGATCAACTTTTATTTAATGGTAATATTTGCATGAATGGTTTAAACATAAAATTAAAATTAAGCATCTAGAAATTGACCTAATTTGCAATTTGATTAAAATGTCTGTTGTTCAACCCTGGCCAGTGTTACTCAGTTGGCTGGGTGTCATCTCACGCACCAAAAGGTTACTGGTTTGATTCATGGTCAGGGCACGTGCCTGAGTTGCGGGTTGTATCCCAGGTGTGGGGCATGCAGGAGGCAGCTGATCAATGATGTGCTCTCACATCGATGTTTTTCTCCCTCTCTCCCTCTCCTTCCTCTCTGTCTAAAAATCAATAAACTAAAAAAAAAAAAGTATGTTGTTCAGTAGAAGAATTAACATAAATCTTTAAAAATAGTTTAATGATAATGATTTAAAATGTTACCATTATTTCGTGTGTATACAGAACATCTAATGATAAATATATGTTATTAAGTCCCAAAATAAAAATGATAGACTTTATTCTTTGAGAAAACTGATGCATGTAAAAGCCTTGAACAATGTTTACTTTTTAAATGTACATAAACATGAAGTTTATTCTTGAACTCTTTACTTACATATACTTAAATAAAAGTTAATAGTCATGGAAAATATATTTAATTAAATTCAACATCTATTTATGATAGGAAAGAAAAAAATTGATAATTATCATTAGAAGAAAATTTCCATAATTTGTTAAAGAATACCCACAAAAACCCCTAAAGCATATAACACAGTTTATGGTGAAATATTGAAAGTTTACCCTGTTACCAGCATTCACTCAAGGATGCCTGCTATTAATACTTTGTTCTCCATTGTATCAGAGTCCTAGTCGGTGCAGTAAACCAGGAGAAATGAATGAAAGATGTAAGTGCTGGAAAGGAAGAACTAAGATTCTCATTGTTTGTAGATGACCATGTTCTGTGCTGAGACTATTCCAAACAATCTACAGATAAACTACTAAAATTTAGCATGGTTACTGGATATAAGTTCATATAAAAATCAATTGATTTCTTCACACCAGCAATAAGCAATTAGAAAAAAAAATTTTAGATTCTATTTTTAATAGCATCAGAAATCTCAAATACATGGTATGAATCTAATGAAAGATGATGAAGGCTTCTACACAGATAAGGATAAAATGATCTTGAGATCAACTAAAAGCCTAAATAAATGGAGAAGTATATATAACATTTTCATTGATTAGAAAACTCAATATGGTATATGTATATATATCAATTTTTCCCGAGTAGTCATTGATTCAGGGCAAACCTAAATTAAAATTCCAGCAGGGTGTTAGTTTGCTGGTGGATGTAATTATTTAGGTGAAAACGAGCAAACAATTTCTAAAATGTATCAGCGGATTTGAGAGAAGAAGAGGAATCAAATTAATCTTGAAGTTGAAGGACTCAACTCTGCCAAATATGAAGACATTACACTGATAGGCTGAGTCAAGCCGTGTGTGATTGGCACAAGGACAAACAGACCAAATAAAAGGGGTCAAGATCCCTTTACAACCAGTGGTGCTGGGGCAAACGGTATGGATGCTGTAAAAGGGATCTTGATTCCCTCATCATCACACGCAAAGGAACGCATTCTAGATGAACTGGGCCATCCAATATGGTAGCCATCAGTCAACAAATGCCTATGTAGATTCACATTTAATTAAAATGAATAAAACTAAATGAATTGAAATAAATTTTACAAGTTTAAATGAATTCATTAGAATAAGATTACAGTTCTTCAGCCTCACTGGCCACGTTCTAGCTGCTCCACAGCCACCCCTCCCATCACCTCAGACAGTTTATGTTGGGCAGCAGTGTGTCAAAACGTCAGTTTTATGGAGCAAGACAAACAGAGAAAGGAAATGTTAAATTGAAAGTGTTGAAAGGGGGATTTACTACTTAAAATCAGACAGTGGCTATCTGGGGAAAGAGCCTTCTACGCAAAGGAAACAGCAACTGGTAAGTCCTGAGAGGGGTGGTCTGCCCAGGGGTGTTCAGAAACCAGCAACAAGTCCCGTGTGGCTGAGAATGGCAAGTAGTAGGAGAGTGGGGGAGCCTGGTAGGGCGGGGCAGTCCGGGGGGTGAGAGGGGGAGCATGGGGCCCGGATTGCTCTGACTGACAGGAGAGGACACTGGAAAGTTTTAAGCAATGGTGGATACAATCTGATTTCCTTTAAGAGGATCATAATTGTTGGGAAGAAACTAGGAAACCATATATATATATATGTATATATATATGTATATATATGTATATATATATGTATATGTATATATATATGTATATATATGTATATATATGTATATATATATATATATGTATATATATATATGTATATATATATATATGTATATATATATATATGTATATATATATATATCCATGTCATGGGTATACACACACAGTATAAAATATATACAGAAATTGGAAAAAATAGGTTTACAGTTGTGAGTATGCAAAACACAATTTATTCTCATATTATTATTTATTAATTGTTTTATTATTTTCCATACAAACAACTCTAAACCTACTTTTCCCCACCTTTGTGTATGTATATGTATATGTATAGCTATTTCTATCTATATAGGTCAATAGCTAGCTATGTATCTATGTATTCATCCATCTATCTATCTATCTATCTATCTATCTATCTATCTATCTATCAAAAGTTTTAGGAAAACTCTTTGGAGACCAGTTCAAGAAATGCAGGAGTCCAGGTGAGAGCAGGTGACGGTGGCTTGCCCTGGGTGATATTGATGCATTTGAAGGAAGGAGGTTCGATTTTCCCTTTGAATACATGTAAAGTGTGAGAAAACAAACAAAAGAATCCAAAAATAACACCACATTGCTGTCTTGGGCAGCTGCCAGAAAAGGCTTAGGGAGGAGGACCAGGAGCTCAGTTTCACGGGTTTTGAGGTCGGGGCGCCTGCCCCACATTCAGATGAGATACGGAGAGGGCAGTTGAATATGGAGCCACAGCTCCTTGGTGTTCGTGTGTGATTCTAAAAACCGCAGATGGAGGTAAAACCTGGGAAAGAGATTTTGGGGGAAATTACTAAGAGACTGTGTCTAGAGATTTTTTTATATAATGCAATTAGGTGGCTTCTGTTTACTCTAACATCCATTGAGGACACTGTCTTGGCCCATTCAGGATAACAGAATACCAGATTAGGTAGTTTATAAACAATAGACAGTTATGTCTCAGTTTTGGAGACCAGAGAGTCCAAGACCATGGTGACGGAATAGCCAGGGGAGAGTCCTCCTCCGGTGGCTCAGTTCTTGTGACCTCACGTGTATTTCAAGACCTTTAAACATCACATCCTAAACAACACGAAGATAATCTCTTTACGATGGACATTTTCCTAATCTAGGTTAAAGTCTGAAAATTCTTTCCTTGGGGTGGGGCACACACAATCCAGTGCACAGATGATGTGTTGTAGAACTGTGCACCTGAATCCTGTATGATTTGTTAACCAGTGTCACCCCAATAACCTCAATTTAAAAAAAGAAAATTCTTTCCAGAGTATTCTAACGATCATTTTTAAATAATTGGTCGGGATAATGTGAATCCAAGTGTCTGTCGCTACTGAAATGTAGAGGACCTTTTTGCTCCACTAAAACCAATGCTTTATCTGTAATGAAATAGTTCTATATTCAAGAAGTTTCTCATTATCAAACTTTGCATAAGGATTGTTTCAGGGGGGAAAGGGACGAGAGCTGGGGCCGTGGATTTCAGACTTCCGTGAAAAGGATAATTGGGTGGCTTAACGTCACCCTTTCCCCTGTACTGCTGCCAAGGCTGCTCCTGGCTTGAGTTTCACTGAGTCAGGAAGTTTGGAGCCTGGGATCCGGGTCTCTGCTTTATTAACAAGCTCCCCGCGTGATTCTGCGATCGGGGCTCCTGAGACCATTCCGTGAGAAGCCGGAGAGCACGGTACTTACAATAAAATTACTCTTACTTCAGGGATTTCAATCATAAAGGCCTTCTTAATAGCTATGAGAGTTAATAACTCACCATCATTATTCAGATGCAGCCTTGCTTACATCATTTCGCTCCAGAACATTCTTTCCTTGACGCAGCACTTGCTACCTGCGCTTGCTGTCTGCGGCCTCTCTCACCTGCGCTCTTAGGCACGAAGGGACGGGCCTGCACCCGTGTTGCTTAAACAGCAGGTTTTCCCTCCACACTGTCCACACTGTCACCGTGCTCAAAAGTAGAAGTCAGCCTAAAGTGAACTCTTCATTCTTCAGTTGCTTTACATATAATTCATCTGATTGGAAATCTCCTCAGGGAGAGAGACACCAGTAGACCCAAACTGCCTTTCAGTCTTTTTTTAGTGTATTTATTAAAGTTAATAGATTTTCTGCCTATTTCAGCTCTCTCTCCTCACTCATTTGTCTGTGTCTCCTTACTTGACCAGCTCTCTCTGCATTGGGTAAAGAATAATTTAAAAAAAGAAAGAAAGAAAAGAAAGAAAGAAATCATGGCTCTTACACAGGACATAAAAATAAAAGCTAAAGCCCTGGCCGGTTTGGCTCAGCGGTTAGAGTGTCGGCCTGCGGTCCGGAGAGACCTGGGTTCGGTTCCCGCTAAGGGCACATACCTCGGTTGCAGTTTGTCCCCGGCCCTGGTTGGTCGTGCGGGTGGCAGCCACTCAATGTGTCCCTTTCACATTGATGTTTCTCTCTCTCTCTCTCTCTCTCCCTCCTGCTCTATCTGAACAAAGAATGAAAAAGTGTCCTCAGGTGAGGATAAAATAAATAAATAAATAAAAAATAAAAGCTAAAAAAAACACATTTTAAAGATTTTGTTTGACACGTTGCCGATGAGGAAACGGGGAAGATGGTGTAGCTAGTTCCGAGGGGATTCCAAAGAGCAGACATAAATACAGATCAGGAATATCGAAATGGACGTGCAGAGGGAGATGCACTGGCTTCTTCCGAACTGGAGGAGGGAGTCAGTAAACCCTTTCTACCAGGCAGAATTTCCTTGTCTGTAGACAAAGATCGTGTGTTGCAAGGAAACTTGCTTTCTAAGAAAAAAACATCTGAAAGCCTGGGTGAAAGGGTAACTGAATGTTAACATGTCTTGGAAGTGAGAGCTGGTGAATTTCTCTGGAGACTCATCTCCCTGAGCAGCATTTGTGTACATTCTAAGAGTGATAGAAACCCAAGGATGTGTGTCCTCCCTACTTTCCCGCTTTATGGAGGGGAGAACAGGTAGGTGCCAGCCATTCTCTGAAAGCTTCGCATCTCATAATTTTGGGGTTCCTCTCCTGTGCAGCTCCAGCATGTTGGGGCATCTTAGCACTCATTGTATGGGCCATGGAAAATTGGGGTGTCAAGAATGGATGCTGCTAAGACTCTGGGAGAGAACGTTCCTTGATCCAGAGATCTCCTGTGTCTATTAGTATATATATCTGTATCTTTATCGCCTATATCCATCTACAAATAGATAAATAGATAGATACACTTTGTACGTGGGTCAGGATAACTTGTAAGTAGGGCAGCAACTCAGATCCGTCACAACTTCCGACTTACTGTTTTTGCAGTCTCAGTTACCTTCAGTTCAGAGTTATGAAGCGGCGGAAAGACAATGGAAGTGTCCGAGCCACCATCGAATCAGAATCAGACCACCCGGAAGGTTGTGTTCTAGTCTGGACAAGGCACTGTCTTTATTCATTCGTCAGTTTCTTTCCTCATTTCTCTAATGCCTTCTCCTGCGCATGTGCCCCGCCCCTGTGCTGTGTGCTGGAGACACTGGTTAGCAAATCAGAAGCCATCACTCCTCTCCGAGGGCTTCCAGACGAGTGGGAAAGGCCAATGAATAAGTCACAAAGTACTGACTTGTGAAGTCGATGTGTTTTTACAGTTGTGATTTCTAAACAGGTGTTTGTAGAAACATCAGATAACACACTGTTGCCTGAAAGAGCGATAAAGAGGCTGTAAATCAGAAGGTCTGAGAGATTCCCCTGCTGGGAAAGTCCATACGAGGTGGGGCTCCCATTTCCATGGCTCAGGATCTGTGGTGATGATTTTATTGCCTCTGCCTTGCCCTGGAAATCTAGATTGTCTAATGAGGACGGCATCTGGTTAACTTCCTACATTGTAGCATTTTTTTTTTTTTACTAGAAAATAAAATCTCTTACAGGAACGATCATTCTGTTGAAATTTAGAATTTCCGAAGGACACATCGATATGAGCTGCCCTATAACAGATGCCAGGCAGTGTGACCTGGAATCTCTCACGGCAACTTAAAAGACCTTTCGAAATCATGTGTTAATTGTGACCCAGTGGATACTAAACTACAGGGAAGTCCTTCTCAGCGTGACCCAAAAAGGCGTCGTGACAAAGGTTTCAGGCAGGTTTATTGTTCTGCTCCTTTGGCAGCGGCTCAGCCCAGTGAGCTTCTTCAGGCATGCCTTTGATCACCACGAGAAAAGATGAATCGTTTTGCTGAACAATAAAAGCCGAGTCCAGCAGAGGCGAGGGTAACAGATTTGCCTCGTTAATAATCTTCAACTTCTAACAGCTGAGGTTGAGTTGGCCAAAATGATACACCCTCAGACCTACTCTGTTGCTTGCTGAATTCTGAGACTGTTTTCCAAACCTGGAAATGGAAACTCAGATCTCCCCTGACTTTCTTAAGGGCACAGATCCATACCAAAGCTGCCACTCAGACCTCCGCAAGGTTTCTGCATACAGCTGTCTGGCCATCCATAATTAATTTCATTACCTTATATATCATGTCCTCCTCCAGGAAAGTGTTTTACTGATAAAGCTCTAGAGTGAGCCAAAACGCAAGGCAGAAATAAAAGTAACAGCTGTTGTTTCAGAGGAAAATAATGATCCACACATAGAAGGCAATAAGGCTGTCAAATCTGTGTCCTATGCCATTTATTTAGCAGGCCTCTCTGTTCAAACTTCGGATGACTAGGAGAGGGTTGGGCGTGCAATTTCTAAGCGTACCTTTTTATCTTGGCTCGATTGTTGAACCCTGTGAATATGTTAGCTAAACGAAGGGATAGGGGACAGTGAATTCTACCTACTGTTCTTCTCTAATTTGGAATATTCCTCTGGAGTATAGAGAGTTATGTGACTTAACAGCACATATATACCAGGGTTTTGACAACTTCCAATCTGTTTCTTCCCTATTAAATCAGAGAACTTTTGATTAATCTGTCCTCGTGCCTGCATATATCACAGCAAATAGAATATGAAGTCTTGCTGGAAAAGTTGAAGGATAGACACATTATGCCTATCTCCTGTTATAAACAATGTAGGGTTTTTATCTCATCTAAACACTTCTGCTAATCAGTATGACGGAAATGTTTGCAGACATTTTCAGGTGTTAATAGTGATAGCCCTGTTGTTTTTTGTGTCAGTTGAGTTACTGGTGCTGACTCAGATGTGTTTAGTTCAAAAGAGTAACTTCCTGTTGCATTGCATAACTTTGCAGATCACATGATACCAAATGAATATTCCCAATTTGATTTAAAATGAAATATATACTCATAATTGAATGTTGTCTGAGGAGATATATATATATATATATATATATATATATATATATAAATAAATAAACACAAGCCATCACATTTTGACTTCTTTTTTGCAGGTAACACAAATGATTTTTAAGACTACACAAGTCATTGCTTACATTATGTAATTCAAAATATTTTACAAGTTCTGAGATGTGCTATTTTTTTCACATTGTAACATCTCTGAATTTAGGGTGTATCAACATTCCATAACGTTTTACAATTATGGTGGGCAGTACTTTTTTTCTTTCCTGAAGGAAAATATACCACGAAAATTTAATAATCAGCTTTCTTAATATTTTTTCACCATAAATATTGTCTGGCTAAATTATATGAAGAAGTAAAATAAAATCAGTGCAAATGGATGGCAAACATATACATTTCAGAGAATAGAATCACTTTACCATAATTAAAAAAACAATTTCCATATTTTTAAATTAAATTTTAAGAGTCCATTTGTGTTGATTCTACCTCTCAGAGAGGTTTATGACTAGAAACATTTGACTCAGATAAAAGGTGATTTTGATTTTCTTTATTTATTTTAACTTTTGCAGACTAGTGATGGTCTCCTCTCTTTCTTCCCCCATTTCTGCATCCAAGAAACTGCATGGACCATCATACAGCACAATGGCTCTGAGTTAACAAGAGTGAGAAATACTAATCTGGAGAACCCATATGCTGGGTTTTTTGAGTACGTGGCCAGCCTGGAGCAACTCCAGGCCACAATTAACCATGCGGAGCACTGTGAACAGGAGCTGACCTACTATTGCAAGAAGTCACGGCTTGTAAATAAACAAGGTAAGTAAACCGAGGCGTCTGTCTCCTTACACAGATTGCACGGTGCGCTTCACTCCACCAGCTCCTGAGGACTTGAATTCTGCCGGGTTGCTGGCATATAACCGCTGAGGGTGTATCTCCCTGTATATTCAGCAAACATGTCACAGTCTGGAAGCCACAGAGGTTCTATTGCCTGAAGAAAAGAACAAGGTCAATTTACACTGAGCTTTGTTCAAAGCCTTGATTGCCTTTGGTGTCCCTTCTTGGCCTTAATCTGATGACTGCACAGAAAAGGACTTCATTCTGATACTCGGTGAATTCAGTATTTACCCTTAGAAAGGGCAAGCGACACATACGGTTTGTTTTATCGTGGAGAAGAGCTAATAAAAATAAGACTTAGTTTTCTGAAAGTGAGTATTCTGTGTGACTCTTTTTCAGGGATTGTTGACAGTGAGCCTCTGGGTATAATTGAAAATTAAAATAGGCTGCTGGAAACCCAGCTTATTTAGTAGCTCAAGTAGGAATCGGAAAACCATCTTAACTCTTTCTTGTATTCTACTTTTAATAACCAGCCTGCTCCTCAGTTCCGTTTCTGGGTTTGTGTTTTCTGCCGTTAGAACATCTCATCATGTGAGAACATCTCAGGTCCTACCGGTTCTGCTTTATTCTAGTTCGTGCCCTAATTCTCACAGTTACTGCAAGAGATTTCAACTGGCCTCCTAGCTTGCTCCACTCCATACCTTCTAAGCATCCAATGTATAATCCACAATCTTGATCTTTATGAAAAAATATTAACTTAAAAAAAAAGTGTTTTTTTTCTTTATTAATTTTTAGAGAGAGAGAAAGGGAGAGGGGGAGAGAGAGAGAGAAACATTGATGAGAGAGAACACTGATTGGCCGCCTCCTGCATGCCCCCCACTGGGGATCGGGCCCACAACCTGGGCATGTGCCCTGACCGGGAATCGAACCGGTGACCTCTTGGTGCATGGATTGATGCTCAATCACTGAGCCTCACTGGCTGGGTGAAAAATATTAACGTTTAAGAAACACTGCAGCCATCACGAGCCTTTTCTATCTAAGAAGCTTCAATGCCTTCCTGTCCCCTGTCTGTCCAACACAGACTCTTCTGTCTGGACACAGAGCTGCCTGTTCTGGACCCCTCTGCTGATGCAGCCTCGTGCCGCTCCCCACACTGCTTCCTAGCAGAAATATTCCGGCAGGTGTATTTTTCTTTAGACGTTAGTGAAGATTAAGACACCAGCTCAATGAAGCCGATTTGTTGATGTTTACTCCTGTTTGTCGTCGTAAGGAAGGTTAGAGTTCCAGATAGAGTGACAAGAATTTTAGAAGAAATGTGTTCCGTATGTGATTATCATGTCATATGGATCATGCTGAAAAATGTTGAGCTCTTGGTATGACATTTAAGCCTTTTGTTTCCAATTAAGCACCTCTTGTATTTACGCTCTATTCATTTAATACAACCAGGTTTTCTTCCCCTTGCCTAAGTTCAACCCCCTCCTCCTCCTTTTCCTCCTTCCTCTTCCCCCTTTTTTTATAAATCTTATTTGGTCTTTTACTCCATTTTACTAGTCTCTGAAATATTATCCTCCTGAAGCCTCAATCCCATTTTGGACTCGCCATCAGATAGTTGTAGTGCCAAGAACATAGGGCTCAAAGGTGGGGAGAGATCTAAGTTCAAGTTCAGGTCTCTCATTGATTAGGAATAGAACTTGGATGGAGGGGTCTTTCTCAGTTTCTTTTTTCTCTTCTCTGAAATGTGGCCAGTAGTACCAACCTCATGGTGCAGTGAAGATTGGGTACAAACACGTACAAGGTACAGGAAGTGCGGTCCTCTCGTTCCCAGCTCTCTGGTCTATCATAGTCATAGTCCACATAACCAGTTTACAGTGGATTGTTCCTTGTTGCAAAATACTGATCTTGGAACATAAAACACAGATAAGCAAATTTGGAAGTGCATTCTAAGAGAATGAGAACCACGCTTATAGAGGGGTAAATAAATGCTATCAAACAAAATGAATGAAGTGGCTTAACTAAAAAAGGAAGACCAGAGGAAAGACAACCATTCAAGTGACAAATGAGTCAAACTCTAAAAGAACCAGGAAACAAAATCCCCAAGGGGTTACTGAGCAAGCACCACACAGTGAAAGAGATGACAGGGAGTGGAAGGACCCCCACCTTCATGGCCAGCGGTTCAGCCAGATGTGAGAGCCACTAGTACAGAAAGTAGTGCAGTCCAGAACGCTGTGGAACAGGGGACGGTAACTGTTAAACACACAGATTTTTGTCAGGTCCATGACCCTGGAATTCATGTTGAATGGATTTGAGGTGGGGTTTCAGCTCTTGAAGCAATGGCGAGTGTCAAGTAACAACGGCACCTCATCATGGAAGGACGAAGTGGACTGACTATGGAATGTGTTCTCAGCGAGCTGTGGTTCTGCCGACATTAGCCGGACACTCCATGTGAACACACAAACCACTTGAGATTTTAACTATGGGAAGTGGAATGTTCTACCATGGTCATGATCTTTTTTAATTTTCATTTTCTGAATCTTCTCTTACACTTAAATTCTTTAGGATAATTTTTTTAAAAGTTTGAATGGAACCAAAGGTGTTTGGTACCACTGAACGTTCAGTGGTTTCTACTTTGTGAACATAGAAGTAAAAATAGTATTCACTCTTTAGGAATGATGATGTATTTTCTCTTTAGTCTATGAACACAGAATCTTTTAAGCAGTATATTCAGATATAGCTGGTCAAGGTTTCGAATAGGTTCCACCTTCTGTTGAGGCATTAACTATGCAGTTTTAAAAAATGAAGAATCTTGATAATTCATGTCTTTATGCACGACACAAGCTTTTGCTGACTGCTTGTTGTTGGCTTGGCTGATCTCACATGCACAGTAATGCTGGGAGACAGGCTGCCAGCATCCGCTGAGTTCCCACTGTAACAGTAAGTTATAATGAGCATTGGCATTTGTAAGTAAGGGAGCAATTAGTAAAAGTTCCAGATTTTTAGTGGGGCTGATGATAACTTCAAAGGTTTGAAAGTCAACAGAAAAATGATCAAGCACCTTCGAACAAGCTGACATTTGATCTCACATTCTTCTCATGCCCCAATTCTCCAATGACTACAACTTCTCTCTCTCTCTCTTTTTCAAAGGAGAGTTGCCCTCACGCTTTACCTCCTTTTCTCGAAATCGTACCTAACTGTTCTGTCTAGTCTTTGCTCTAGTTCCTTGACATCAGGTTTAGTTTTAACTCTGAGGAGCTGGTAGCTGAGCATTCATCATAGAAAGAAGTGCATTTGGTTTAAGGGAAACTTTGTTTTTGAATGTAGTATTTGCCTCAGGCATAAGATCTTTCAGTATTACTCTGTAGTCTCCAAATAAATAGCCAAGCCATTGAATGAAAGAAAAAACACATACTTCCAAATAAATATTAAATCATGACAAAGAAGTACCATACCACATCCAATGTTTCATAGACAGTTACGCTGTTTTAGCCAATACATATATTGAGATAAATCACTGACTTTACGTAACATTCTATAATGTTCCAATGGGCATTTTATTCTCTCAAATCAATTTTATTTCTGACATGCTAATTACTCTGGTCTCTATTTTTTTATGCCAACTTGTTTCAAAATTTGTTTTCTAAGAAATTGCATATGTGAACTGCTCTCAATACATTTTTCCTCTCATGCCTGACTGAAATAGGAATTGCTGGTGTCTTTTCTACTCAAAGAAAAATACATCAATCATTTAATTTTAAATAATAAAATATTTTTTAAAAGCTTTTTTTTTTCAAGAAATGGCATCAATTACAATGTTTTGACTATCACTACATTCCATCAATCTTTGTCTTTCTCCATCATTATTATTATTATTTTTTCTGTTTTAAGGCTTTGGGAAGGAGGGGCATTGTACGGGGATGGAAGGCAGTGGGGTGTGAAGCGGAGGCCATGTTTCATGCATTTGTCTTTCAGATGGAAGCCCTCTGAGCTGGTGGGTTGGAAGAACCAATGAAACACAGACGTACTGGGGAGGTTCTGTGCCTGACCCTCAGAAGTGTGCGTGTGGACTGCAGGGGGCCTGCGCTGATCCTCAGTATCACTGCAATTGCGATGCGGACCGAAGTGAATGGTGATTTCCATGTGATGTCTTTTTGCAAAACAGAGTTTATTATTTTTTTTAATGGATCACTCAAAATACGTAGATACTGAACGCATTAGTGCAGTAAAAAAATTAGGTGAAGGTCTGTTTTGATGAAATGTGTTACAATCAGTCAAAGTCCTAAATGTTAAGATCAGTGTCTTTTTATTTCCATTTATTTTCTAATGGACTGTTCAGTCATGTACATTTTATTTTTGTAATATGATGAAAGAGGCATGTGTTTCATGTGTCCTCTTCATTGTAAGTCAGTTATCATTTTCTTTGAAATTAAGTGTGATTAAGCATTCTAGTATTCTCAGAATATATTTACAGCCAGTAATTACTAAAGCACCTCAATAAGTCACCTCTAGATCACCCTTACAAATATAAACTTAGAATTTTTCACAATTAAAAACATGTAGCTTTTTTATTTGTTTAAAGGACAAAGCATGTCACAAAGAACTAAAGTTCAGTTGTTTATCATATTTTGAAAGAAGAAATCTGTAACATTTTAGGGATTTGAAAATTGAACTTAAAATAGTCTCTAAACAGAAGAAAAGTCAAGTATATGTTTTCCTTTGAAAACTTAAAAATACATTTATTATATTTTTTACTAGAGTTGGAGTGGTATATTGATTTTATTTGTGAAGTGAAAATATTTTTTAATTTCCAGGTTCACATTTCAACATACTGTGTGTGTGTTACATTGCTGTGCACCTGGGGCTGCACATAATAATTATTTTTAAAAATATTAATAGTCACCTTGGCTGGTTTGGTTCAGTGCCCCGGGTTCGGTTCCCGCTAGGGGCATGTACCAAAAAAAAAAAAAAAAAATTAATAGCCAATCTGGCTGTAAATATGATTGATTTGGCTACAGAATGTACATTAATTCCAGTAATCAGGTCATTGTTATTTGAGCTCACATTTTGAATCATATGATGTTTCATTGGTTTATTTGGCAAGCATCAAGACTATGTTATATCAAAAGACAGATTCTTTGAGAATACCCTAGAAGGAGGCATCTGTGTGGTGTCATGATAGTTTGATATGAAGTACTTTTACCGTTACATGTTTGATATGAAGAATATTATCTCACTCAAACTCTAATTTTTAAAAATGTGTACTCCCTTTATTCTCACTACCTTCATAAAAAACACCTACACAGTAATATTGTATTTTAAAATGTGAATAGTAATGCTTAACAGAAGAAAAAAAATGAACATAATCACCAATAACTCTCCAATATCTCCATAATATATTATTCATCAAAAATAATTTTCAAACATAGCATTTTGAAGGTTTTTATATTAAATTCTGCGTATGGTGATGTAGCTTGCCTAGAAATAACTTTCCCCAGAAAACATTCATAATCCTAGAAAAACTATTTCTAAAAACAACTATTGAACCCTGGCAGGTTTGGCTCAGTGATTAGAGTGCTGGCCCACAGACCAGAGAGTTTTGGGTTCGATCCCCAGTCAAGGGCACACACCTCAGTTGCAGGTTCAATCCCTGCCCCCACTGGGATCGAGTGGGAGGCAACTAATCCACATGCTTCTCAGACACATCAATGTTCTTTCTCTCTCTGTCTCTCCCTTCCTCCCTCCCACTCTATCTTAAAAAAAAAAAAAAAAAAAATCAATGGAAAAATATCTCTGGGTGAGGATTAAAAAACAAACAAAAAACCAACTACTTGAAGTAAGTGGAGAACAACCAAAGGTAGGTAGAAACTGCTAGGGTTTGACCCTTGGAAGACAGGAACGCAGGTGGGTGAGATGTATGTTTATATACTCTTCTTTGAGGAAACTATCAGAGCACATGATATGTGGTGGCTAGAACTCAAAGAGAGTACTAGATGTGGAGTGGGCTGGAGATAGAGGTGTCAGAGCACAGTGTGGGCTGCCGGAATGCTGGATATTGAGGGGAGAATGGAAGTCCCAAATAGGAGAAAACGTCCTGGGGGGGGGGTCCACCATATCAGCTCCCCTCAGGTCCGTGGCTGAGCCCTGAACTGTGCATGCATGGGGGAGATTTCTGGGAACCAAGCAGAGAGGATACAACTGGAAAAGTGAACAAGCTACACAGAGATTTTAGTAGCAACACCAGAGGGGACGGAATTTGGAGTTGAAGTCTTACTGATTGAGATGAGCTTTATAAACTCCTCAACTTTCCATAGAAATAACAAAGGTATGTCTTTACAGCAAAGACTATGATCAGAAACTAAGAGCAAAACTGACATGCGCCCACCCTAGTGAAATGTAAAACCAAACATCCACAATTTATTGCGATATGATTATGATTTAACTCCTGTTAAAACAGAAATGAAATCTTCAGAACAATAACAGAATCCAGAGTCTCTACAGTACCACCCATAATGTCTAGAACAACGTAACAATTATTGCATATTCAAAAAAAGGGTAAACTTTGATCGAAAGTTTAGAAAATAGAAAGTTATTAGAAACAGACCCTGGGATGTATGTTTGATTAGCATGCAAAAACTTTTTTTTTTTTTTTTAATCATCACCCGAGGACATTTTTGCATTTATCTTCAGATAGAGCAGGGGGGAGGGGGAAGAAGAGAGAGAGAGAGAGAGAGAGAAACATCGATGTTAGAGAGACACGTTGACTGGTTGCCACCCTCACGACTCCAATTGGGGCCAGAGACAAACTGCAACTGAGGTACGTGCCCTTACCGGGAACCGAACCCGGGACTCTCTGGTCTGTGGGCCAACGCTCTAACCACTGAGCAAAACCAGCCAGGGCAGCAGGCAAAAACTTTAAAGCAACTTTTATAAACATGCCCCAAAACAGATAAAAATAATGACAAGTGAACAGAGGGTAAGCTAAGCAGATACATGAGAACTATATTAAAGGAGCAAATATAAATTTTAGAATGGGAAAGAACATCTGAAGTGAAAAAAAAATCTCAGCATGGACTTCAACTCAGGAAACCGAAGAAGAAATCTTCAATGAACCTGAAGATGATTAATAGAAGTTATTAAATCTGGAGAATATAGGAAACACAACAAAAAGGTTGAAAAAAATTAACAAAACCGTTGTGACTTTTGGAAACATATCAGTGATTTAATGGGCAAGAAGGATAGGAAATAAAAAGAGGCAAAAATATATTTGATGAACCAATGGCTGAAAATATTTCAATTTTGTTTAATAAACGTCTGTGGCAGCAAGCTTTCAAGATGGCCCCCGACGGGATCCACACTGCCTGTTACTCACATTGTGGTGTCATCTTCTCTCCTTGAGGGTCGCCTGGGCCTTGTGACTCGCTTCCAATGAATAGAATATGGTAAAGGTGATGAGACATCTCTTCTGAGATTAGATCACAAAGGACTGACTTCGATTTGCTTGTGCCTCTCTCTTTGACTCTTCTAGTTTTCTTGTTCTGGTAAAGCAAACTGTCATGTTGTGATCTGTCCTGGGGAGATGCCCACGTGGCAGAGAATCATAAGTGGCCTTCAGCCAAAAGCCAGTGAATAACAGGCCAGCAACTGACAAATACTGCCAACGACCGCTTTGATGAGCCTGGAAATGCATCCTTCCCTTGTCAGGCACTGAGATGGCTGCAGCCCTCACCAACACTTTGACTGTAGCCTTGGGAGGGACCCTGAGCAGGACCCTTTAATCTATGTCCAGAGTCCCGATGAGGATGTAGATCACATATGGTGCTGTTTTAAGTCACTGAGTTTTTGCGTAATTCGTTATGTTATAATAGATAACTAATACGATTTCAGTGTACAGGTTCCAGACTCTCAGAGGATATCTAGCAGAATAAAAATAGAGCAAAGTACATCTTGGGTTATTGTTCATATTACTAAAATCTAATGATAAAGATACATGTTTTGGAAGTGGCCAGGTTGGTAAATCTGGTACAACAGCTTCCTTACAGGGAGCAAGGATACCAACAAAGGCTGACCTCCCTTCAGAAGGCCACGGAATGATATCTTTAATGTGCTGAAGGAAAAAGCAGTGTGAACCTAGAAGTCTATTTAAAAAAATAAAATAAAATAAAATAAAAAATATATATACACACATACACACATACTTATATATACGTGTGTGTGTGTGTTATAGTTCAAAATGAATGTAAAATGACGTTCTTTTCGAATTAAACGAATGCTGAGTGAGTTGCCCACAGAGCTGCACCGTAAGAAAGACTAGCAGGTACTCTGCAGGCTAAGAGAACTAACACCGGATGGAAACTCTGACCTTCAGAGAGGAATACAGAAACTGGGAATTGTGACTATGTCAGCAAATATAAATTCTTCTCTTAATAAAAAATAAATGAAATCTTACTTTGGAATTATAAAGCTTATAACATCTGGATTCGCATAGATTACAGCAGTAGCACAAAGAACAGGAATGTGTGTGTTTGGTGGGAAGTGTTAAAGAAATTATCCCGTGGTAAGCTTCTGACATTTCGTATTAAGTAACACAACACAAAATTTAAGTAGACTGTCATAAATTAAGAGTGCATTTTGTGTCCGGCCAGTGTGACTCAGTGGTTGAGTGTCGACCTTGCACCAAGAGGTCACCAGTTCGATTCCTGGTCAGGACACATGCCCAGGTTGTGGGCCCGATCCCCAGTGCAGGGCATGCAGGAGGGGGGCCAAGTGATGTTCTCTCTCATCAATGTTTCTATCTCTCTCACCCTCTCACTTTCTCTCTCTCTAAAATCAATAAAGGAAAAAATAATAATAAAAAAGAATGCATTTTATAATCAATAAGGCAAATATTAAAATACAATAAGACATATAGCTAAAGGGTGAATAAAGAAAAGAAAATTAAATATAAAATTGTGGTGTAAACCAAGAGGAAGCAGCAAAGAGGGGACAGAAATACACACTATCATGGGAAAAAAATAAGAAACAAGTATCAAAATGGTAGATCTAAAAATGCTGTATCAATCATACTAAATGTGAATGGGTCAACCATTCTATTTCAAGGTAGAAAATGGCAACTGAATTTAAAAATCACCAAGTCTATTCTGTCTGCAAGAGAAATTAAGATGTTGCCATATTTTTATATGCCCAGATGAGCAATTTGAGCCTACTGTTGTGTGCACAAATTTATCTCGGAACATCTTGACATTGAAATGCAATAGGGCCTGTTGTTTATTTGATAATTGTGTTAATCAGGGTGAATTTAAGAATTTTGTTGTTACTGTTTTTTAGGACCAATGACACTGGAATCCTTTCTTATAAAGAGCACCTTCCAGTAACTAAGATCGTGATCACTGACACAGGCCGGCCGCATTCCGAAGCAGCTTATAAACTGGGGCCTCTGCTCTGCCGGGGAGACAGTAAGTGGTGGCGATGTGTGGTGAGCAGATCTGAGGGAAGCGATGTCACTTAAGAGTCAAATTTCTGTCATACCACAATTAATCAGACCTTTATTGTGAAAATACATAAGTCGTGTCTGAAATAGTCTTTTCATCAGTCTACAAATAAAATTCCTCCCTAAAGTGCAAAGCTCTGTAATAAAATGCTGGAATGGCAAACCTTCTTAAGATCCCAGAGAGAGAATGAAACCACTGAACCTCTCAGTGGTTGGTTCGTCCACACATTCCAGCATTCCTAAATTCCTGCTGCAATCCATATAGGAAAGCCCCTGAGCTATACAAAGTTGTTAACAAGGTGTGTTAGTTTCCTATTGTTAGGCCTGGGGTGAAATTAGAAGTAGAATCAAATGTCCGCATAATCAAACATATTTCAGTTTTTTATCTCATTTTTTTTTTCAGTGTGTGCGTGTTTACGCCAACTCAGTGGGACATGCTGTTGTGTCTATTCAATGAATTAACACTAAATCAGAATTTTAAAATTCAAATACAGTTGCACAGAGAATATGTATTTTCGGCAGGGAATGAAATGAGCATAAGCATCCATTTATAAGCTTTCTGAAATCAGTTAGCTCTGTAGAGACTGATGCATTAATTATTTAAGCTTTTAGTTTTCCCAAAACTTAAAATGGAAATAGAAGAAATATTTATTTACTTTAAAAGCATGCACTAAAATAAAATTTTATTCTAGGGCTCAACAGAGGAAGAGATGATCTGACAGTTCGGGGGATTTATGGGGATACACAGCCAAAGTTGCTTAGTTAAAAAGCAAAGATGATACTGGGCTATAAAAATTTATATTTCCATTGTAAAGAAAACTGTCTGCCATTGCACCTACCGTCGCTAATCTTGATCGTCTAACTCCTGTCCCTCCGGTAGGCCTCACACGATCCCATGAAGTCGACATAGGATATTTCATGGAGCCAAAAATTATGTGCAGAGATGAGGTTATAAACTCAGACACACCAGGGCAGTACAACAACTTTGTGTGACTATGGAGACATGGTTTTATGCATCACGTGCGCTTTTCGCTGCCGGCTCTGATCTTAACCCTTCGGAGCCCTGGCTGGCTTCCTCCGCCTCCCTTATTTTCATTTGCCCCAGCCCCTGGGGAACTGGTCGGCTCCCATTGAGGGCACCACCAGTTCAGTCCCTTAGGGTTTCTTTCTTGAAAACTCCTGCCGTGAGCTTAGGCACACAGCATCTTTTCACATAGAGCAGTGGTTCTCCATCCAAGGGGATTTCCCCACTCAGTGCACACTTGGCAATATCTGGAGACGTTTTGGGCTGCCTCAGTTGGGGGAGGGGTTGATGTTACTGCCATCTAGAGGGCGAGGCCAGAAATGCTGCTAAATACCCTTCAGTGCACAGGGCAGCCTCTCAACAAACATCATCTGGTCCAAAGTGTCAGCCTGCTGAGGCTGGGACACTAGAACATCAAATGTTTGTGGCCAAGGAGATATATAGGCAGGATAACAACATTAGGAATTAGAGTTTACAAATAGTTGAAGTATTCAGAGAGCTGCTAATTAACCTGATGCAATGAAACAGCAGCCGAGAGCTTTCCTTGGCCTTCCTGTCTCCATCTCTTTTAGGGTCGAGGCTCACCCTCACATGAGGCTGTGGAACTGTTTCTGTGTGAAGGGATTTTATTTATTTATTTATTTATTTATTTGATCCTCACCCGAGAACATGTTTCCATTTTTTTGTTCAGATAGAGTGGGAGAGAGAGGAAGAGAGAGAGAAACATCAACGTGAAAGGGACACATCGAGTGCCTGCCACCTGCACGCCCAACCAGGGCCAGGGACAATCTGCAACCGAGGTACATGCCCTTAGCAGGAACCGAACCAGGGTCTCTCTGGACCGCAGGCCGACGCTCTAACCGCTGAGCCAAACCCGCCAGGGCAATTTTACAAACGTTCTCAGTAAGAAGAGCAATGACTGCAGAAAAACGGATGCCCCTTTTCTCTCCATGGACCTCTCTGCATGGACTCCCCTCCCCCGCCCCCCACCAGAGGAAAGGCCCTAGGCACATTTTTTTCTTTCCAAGTGAGACAGACTGTGCAGCTGTAGGGGCGTCGAGCCATGGGATCGGGCTGGGTGGGCCTTATAAACAGAGGCCAGGTAGGCGGACATTACCCAGAAGGCATTAGGACTGGAACACTGAAGGATTTAAGGCTGAGAAATAACTTAATCTTCCTGATCCAGATGAAAGCATGAAGACCAACAAAATAACCTTTGATGTAAGACAAAGAAAAATGCTAGGGGCTTGGACAGTGGTTGGCAAGGGGCTTCAGGAAGGGGCTCAGCGAGAGAGGTGCGTTTGGTGCGATTCAGACGGGACTGAGGCTGCGCGGGTGTGAGCCGAGCTGGCGCCCTGGCTTCAGTGCGGTGCCGGTACCGTCGTCGCCAGTCAGGGCGCCAGCAGCCTTCGTGGCGACAGTGAGGACACTGGTACCCTTCAGGGAGGCGAGGGATTTTTAGATTTGAAAAGTAAAATGGAAAGGTGAGAATAGAAAAAATATTCTGGTTTTATGACACAAACCAGAGATGTTGAAAATTTTATATTAAGCCTGTTTTTCTAGGAGAAAAGACAGAAGCCTTGACAAAGCCGGACAAATAAACCAAATCGAGTATAAGACTTACTGGTACCAGACACCAGCTTACCCCTAATTAATTGATACTGTCTTTTTTCCAAGTCCTTTTTTTATAGGGGGGAAAAAAAATGGTTCTGAAATTTAGTATTGCTGCTATTATTATGTGATGTCCAATGTCACTGAGAACGTCATTAGGCATTTTTTTTTTTTAATCCTCATCCAAGGACATTTTTCTACTTTTTTGTTCAGATAGAGTGGAAGGGAAAGAGAGGAAGAGAGAGAGAGAAACATCGATGTGAAAGGGACACATCGAGTGGCTGCCACCCACACGACCCAACCAGGGCTGGGTGCAAACTGCAACTGAGGTACATGCCCTTAGCGGAACCGAACCCGGGTCTCTCGGGACTGCAGGCCGATGCTCCAGCTACTGAGCTAAACCGGCCAGGGCTCATTAGGCGTTTTACCTAAAATACAAGAGAGGAGTGTTAAGCTGCCTTTCAAGTTGTGCTTAAACAGGCATAAAACTTAGTAAATCGTGCCCTTAATGAATTAATTTATTTATGAAGACAGAATTAGGTTATAAGTAATTTCATGTATAAGTATGTAGGTTATAACCAGGAGGGCTCTCTCCTGTGTTTTCCTTTCCACTCGCTCTCCAGCGAGCAGCGGGGCATCTTCATTTTTGAGGTGCCCGGCAATTCCTCCACTTCAGCGTGCGTAAAAAATGCCCGGAGAGCACGCCAACCCTATGGGAGTATCTTCCACCTCTCCCCACATGCTTGGGAGAGAGTAGAAACCCAGGGTTGGCACACAGGGCTACGAGTTTCTGAACATCCACCAGGAAGACAGTACAGGGATTACCCCACAGCAGGCCCCACACACTGAGAAAATGCGTGGACCGCTGATAGCATCTGGCTTCACTTCCTCCTCCCTGGTTTCCCTCCTGCAAAATCTCCCCAGTCCTCTTGGTGGAAACTGTCACTCAGATTCCAGCCTTTCCCTCCATGAGAACTTCTACTGGTCTCTAGAATACTTAGCCCTACACTTTCAAAGAATGTTGAACATATTACAAAGATATATTTCTCATACTGGCTTTTCACTATTTTCAAGCCTCTCAAGAGCAGGTCCGTTGTTCATTTATTATTGTGTTCCTGGTACCCAGTACATTACCTGTTACATGAAAGATAATCAATAAATAGCAGTTTGTGAAAGAAGGAGGATGATCTATCATACACATTTCAAGAAACCTGTTGCTAGGGAATTGTTTGTGACAGAGAAGAATACGTTTTTGATTGTATAAGCCATTAAGTGATATGCAAATGCATACTTTTAATGAAAGGAGTTGGTTATAAGACTTACTCTGATGGAACATTCACGTATTTCAAAGAGCACCTGGTTTCAGCTGAGCCATTTCTCATCGACACACCTGGGCCTGTGGTAGTAGAGGTGCTTTCAAATAAGCACACGGTTTTAGTCAGTATGAGTACTTTCTGCTTTTCCCTTTTTAAATAACAAGGAAATACCAAGTTCCCTTTATAGAACTGAAACACCTTTTTCTTGGAGAAAAAAATATTTTGTGGCCTATTTTGCTCTGTTTTGTTTTCTGTTCTTTTATTTTTATTTTTTTAAACTTATCTTTATTGTTGAATGTATTACAGATACATTGTTCCCCATTGACCCCTTCCTTCCCAAGCCCACCCCCCTCCTGCCTTCCTCACACTGTTGTCCGCGTCCATTGGTTATGCATATATGCATAGAAGTTCTCTGGTTAATCTCATCCCACCCTCCCTCCCTGTTTTCTGTTCTTTAGAAATGACTTGGGTTACTAATAATTTGTATTTCAGAAATTTCACAAATATAAGGGAACAAAAGTTCCTTCTAACACTTTCAAAAGACGTCCATTATTTTGAGACTAGGAATCTTAATAATTCTACAATAATATACTTTCTGGACAATTATATGTATATATTCATTTTTTAAAAAATATTAAACATTAATGTTTAATTGATACATAATTATTATAAAACTTTAAGATATACAGAAATCTCAAAGAAAAGAGTGAGTATAATAATTACCAAGAGTTACACAACTCAGAATACTGATTAATACCAGTGAGTACCCTTCCAGACATTGCTAGGTGTCTCTAATGCATTGTTTCCCAGCCTTGGCATTTGGACCGGATTCTTTTTGTTATGGTTGGGGCTCTTCTGGGCCTTTAGCAGTATTCCTGCCTTTCCCCGCAGATGCCGGTAGAACTTTCCCCAGCTGTGACAACCAAATACGTCGTCTGAAGTTCCCAGATGTCTGCTGGGGTGCAGAATCGCTTCGGGTTGAGAACCACGGCCCTAGACAGAAAAAAATAGGAG